TACTTAAATGCAAATCGTTTACCTAAAAAACCTGTCTCTCAAAAAATTCACTTTTAATAAAACATTAATTATTATTAACTAGTTTTAAAACTACGTTTATTCCTATAACTTAGTTTCTTAAAAGAAAATGATAACAAATTGATGCTATTTTTAAATGACAGATATTGTTTGTGAGTTGGAAACGGCAAAAACTGCAGTTTTTGCTCTCACTATTAATTATTTTATACAACACCATATAGTAAATCTGTGCACGTAATTTATTGTATGCAAACAGTAACATGGATTTTTGTGCATAATTACCGTACTTAAATTTGTTTCCATATTAGTATGATTATTTCATTCTCCAGACATAATTATCTGGAAAATCAAGGAAAATACCTGCAAGTACAAGGAAAGATTGATAAATAATTCTGTGACACATATAACATGTTGGAAAAGGCATTAAATATTTTATAGAGTTACTTTAAAAAATATATGGTTTCCAAAATCCCTAAAAATAAAATGTACTTACATTTTTGTAATTTTTCGGTTACATAAGATGTAACAAATAAAGACATTACAAGACTTTTCTCGCTAATCCGTATGTGGGGATCATTTGACGCTGTCCCAAGCAACCCTAATATTTTACCCAAAGCAGAAAGGCGTTTTGCCTCTGTGGAAAATGCTCTTGGAGTTAGACAAAATGATATATGCATACCCACTGTATAATAAGTTAACCACTGTGATGTATAAGTTTCTAGCAAAATTTACTTTATTTTGCTGGCTTAATCTTTACTTGAACCACGAAGCAACTATTCGTTAAATTCAAACTGTATGACAAGACGTAAGAAGGGTGAAAAGGACCTTTTATTCAATTCAAGAAGGAAATTTACAGATGACAGTTCTGGTACTTACAAACTTAGCCAATATTTTTGGCTGCAACTCAAAATAGAAATATAAAATTAAATCCAAGTTAAATTATCAGCCGAAGCTGTACAGAGATAGTTAATGCGAGTTGGTTCTTGGCTCTACCACCGACCTACACAAACTGACAATTAATATGCACGGTCATAAAATAGCAAACTTAAATCAGCTAAAGAATTTCAGATACAACGTGTTCTGCCAGAACATGCTGTGTCTGAAGTAGCTCAGACACCAGCTTAAATAGTATCTTTCTACCCAACTTTGCACATCACCGAAACTGAAATATCGTTCGAGGAGGTAGTGGAAATGAGGAAAGATAGAAAAGATAAGTAACTGGATAAAAACTGATTAGTTTAAAACTAAATGATTTATTACAGCGAGTATATTATGCACATTAAATACACTGCATACATCACTTTGCTACGCCTCAAATTATTATATAATTTTATGCAACTGAAATATGCAATTTTAGAATATATTTCAAAATGCATAAAACTGATATTCAAAGTTCTGAATGAAAAATTTCGAAACATATTCTTATAGCACTTAGATAAAGTCAATTATACTGACATAATGTCCAAAATCCGTATCATTCAGAGAAAGATTTAAAGACCAATTTATCTCCACAGAATCATTCTGGGAAATTTGCTCTTACATATAATTCATAATATATCCAATATGATAATTCCCACTAACTTTTGGAGCACTATTACAGGTTATAAAAGATGCTTCTAACCCCATATATTGAATAATCCGCATAAAATCTTTTGGTCTTTTTAAAAATTACAGTAAACTTCTGATTTCAAGGAAAAATTCTGAGGATAGCATTCACTTTCAAGCCCAAATCACGGTTCATACGAAAGAAATTAAAATGGAAAGTGAAATCATTTCTATTTCTATTACCAGAACAAGACTTTTAACAATTTACCTGTATTTTTAAGCAGCTTAATCTGGAGGGAAAATTCATTTGGCTGCTAAACTAAATCAACATTCAAAATACAACTGTAAATAATAGAAGAATAAGTATCACTAGAAATCAAGAAACTATGTTATAAATAACATTAAAGATAATAATTAAAAGAGAATTTGAAACAATCTCATTGAATTCAATTCCGACTATAAAAGTGTGGTTATAATTTTCCATTTATCATTCCATAATGTTTATATATTCCAGATTACGAACGATTAATTTATATAGTGTAGTAGATAAAAATAATTCCCAAGTAAAATAATGTCACTTGCACTAATCCTAAATACTTGTCTTTCCCATTTTGATATTTTCTGTAGACAGTTTTATTTTACGTTTATGGTCTGTAATGATAATTTTTCATCCAATAAGCAACATTATTCTTTTAAAAGAGCCCAGTTAATTCATGAAACGGTTAATCCTCTGCGGTTAATTGAGAGCTGATTGCATAAAGTAAATGTTCAAATTTGTTGTTACCAAAGCCTTAAAATGATTTTAAGAACTGTATTTTATTATTGTTTCATCTATGTATTGCCCAAATGAATGCATGCCACGCTTCAGCCTGATTTTTAATCTTGCTTCAAACTCTTCCATAGCTCCGACTTCTTGCCGATACGACATCCGTCCAGGATTGTCCATCATCTCAATGGACTCTCTGCAGTTCGCCTCTTCTTCTGACGATTGCCAAATTCAATGCGACAGCGAGGCCACCTTCAACTGCAGGGCCTACACCTACACCAGCAATCGGTGCTTCCTCAGTGGGGATGACTCCGTCAGCCTGGGGCCGATCGTGCTACCGGAGAAGCCGGGGGCCACTTACGGAGAGAAGAAATGTGTGCTTGGTAATTCATGTTATAAAAGTTATAAATACTAATTGTAAAAGTCAATACTCTCTCCTGCAGTTGTATACTGTGTTGGTGGAAGTTAGCTTCAAAAATGTGTTTTACATACTTGTCCATCTGGATTTCCAGGGCAGCTTCAACTGTCATTTTATATATTAGTGTGCATTACGATTTTGAACGAGATTCTTATCTTTTGTTTAGTTTATACTACATAAGATCACTTCAATTGAATGTGCACCAAAATCTGGTATGTGAATATGTCATCATCAAGGAATTCTCATCGAATATAATTTTAAATAGTATTATATATATATATATATATATTCGGAATACTTACTCGCTTATTATTATGTTATTAAGGTTGTTATAAGAATTATTACTTGTGTTTGTAAGGGCTGTTTTCTGTTCTCGTTCAGTTTTTAATTGCAATGTGTAATGAATAATATGTAACTAATATGTGATTCATACTATGCAATGCAATTTTATGTGATTAAATTTTAGTGTATGTTATCAAATCATTACAAACAATTACAAATTATGTAATTTATACAAAATGTAGGAAATACTATAAAATAAGTTTATAGTTTGCGTTCCATCAGATGATTGCGTTGCTAAGTGTGCTAAAATGGAATCGATCTTAATTAGAGCAAGTGGATAGCATTGCGTGATGCCCTCTTCAAGGCGAATGCGTGTATTTCAGTTAGGGGAGTCTTTTGTGTTAAATTTCTAACATGTGAGGATGTTGTCCGGGTGACCCATGGTAACTAACGAGCCTTTTCCCTATTTCAGATTATAATCTGTAATAATAATAATAATAATAATAATAATAAAATGCCAACTTTCTGATCACAGGGAGCTAGAAACCTTAAAAAAAGTACAGATAACTGCTAACACAGCACTATTTGGAGATTTTCACCAAATTCAAAATGCTCTATTCCAGTCTTTCAAATAATAGAAGGTACTAAACGAATAGAGACGTGTTGCATATATTTATTGAAGAATTTCATTTATTTACATTACATTTTTTAATAGAAGTAAACTTATGAAGTGAGGGAACCCTCTCATCTGAACATTTTAGGGCTTCTGATCACAATTTCAAGGCCATCAACGTACATTCTGTACGTTTATTATAATTTAAAATTTTATTAATAATTTAGAAGCTCTTTGATTGCGATTGGCGTGGTCCCCGAAATCATCCTTTGATTATTATTTTTTACAAAAGTGACAGTTTTCAATCAGCACTTGCTTACACTTTTTTTAATACTTCATGAATGATGTGCATCCCTTTTTTAGATACGACTTTAATTAATATAAATAAAATGGAAGAAATTTAATATTTTAAAAAAATGCTGCTAAAGATAAAGAAATTTTGAAAATTTTACTGTAGAGAGAATTTATATTACAGTCATGCTCGCTTGGGGCAAATAATTGCTTTTTATGCAACAATCAGTTCTCAGATTGCGGATGGAACATGTAGTGTAGTGAAGAAATAATCAGTACAGTGATCAGTTCTTGCGTAGCATACGTAAAGGAATGAAGTGATACGTGATACAGTGAGAAAATGATTTAAAAAAAAACTATAGCAGCTCAATTTATCGAATAGAGTAAAGCGTCAGTTTGTAAATCGTTGCAAATTACTCATACATACCAACTACAAACTCTACTGCTAACTTTTATATAATGTAAATACATGACTTATATAAAAGTTAGCAGTAGAATTTACTTTTTAGATTAATGGTGATTTAAGCATAACTTACTTAAATAACCATTAATCTAAAAAGAATAATTTTATAACTTTACTTCAGAAATGAGACTGAGGATTTGGTGAAACAGAGAGGAAGTATTTCTGAGAAGCAGTGCAGTTACTGGAAATTAAAGTAATATGTAAAACAATTTCAAATGATTCGACTCATTTTGAAATACATAATATTAAAACTCTAACTGCTAAATCGATGTGAAGAGGCAAAATATAAAAATAACTATATTTTGCGACTCAATGCTATTTTATGACTTTCAAAATGTTTTCGAATTTGAGAAAACTGGGTCAAAACGTATTCCTTTGATGGTAATAAAAAACCATATTTATTAATTTTTCTGTATTTCATCGAAGATTTAACAGCTAATTTAAATAAAATTCTTATGAATTTTCGGAATCAGTTCAGCCCGTCCGAATAATTCTGAAATTCAAGGTTTCAAGAACTTCGTTGCTTTAAATATAGTTATATAGTTATAAAATCTATCAGTTACTCTAAATTTTTAAACATTATCTGCAGGAAACATGATTAACTTTCACTTAAACATAAAAAGCAACAAAGCATTAAAGGCATTCTGTTTTAATGCCTTTTATGCTTTAATGACAACTGAATGTACATACAAGTAGTTTTTAGAAGGTTTCAGTAACAGATTTAAATATAATTTACATAAAACGTCAAATAACGTAAATGGATAACAATGCATTTTTTTCATCGAGATATATATTTCATAATAAGCAAATACGGTGATTAGCCGTGAGGCATGCGATTTTTTTAGCTAAGTTTTCATGTAAGTCATTTGGTAAATGATAATGAAATATAGTATATATCTTACCCTAAAGGCATTTAAACATCATTTCAGCAATCTGGTTAAATGCCTGAAGATAGTTACAGCATCAGATGAGAGTAGGTAACTAAATGCAAAACCTAATTATTACTTAAGGTTATTATTACCTCGAATTTTAGAAAGACCAAACCCCAAAATCATAGTATAGCTACTTAAGACCTCTTTTTGCTTCACAGAAACAGAAAAACTAAATCTTAATGTTCTCTCAAATGGCTGTGTTTAGGATGCCAGACTTTCTAAATCAGTTCCAATTGACGTCCAAGTTTAAAGAAACCTATAGCATACCGTGCGCGAAACTTCCAACGGGTTACAGACGTCATTGACAACGAAGAAAACAAAAGTAAGAAGGAATAACGAAAGGGAATGAAAGCAACAAAACACAAACTTTTTGCTTATTGTTATTGAAATTTTCATACTAAAAATAATGACAGAAATGCAAAACAATTTTATATTAGTAATTGACGTAAACAGGCCTGATTATTGTCTAGCACGGGTTTATGACATCATATTCTAAAGGATTTCAAAAATATCCGGTAATTGTAAGAAAATTACCGTATTTTAGTTTTACCACAGGAAAAAAAAAAAAAAACTAGGAAAAGGGATATCATAGATGCAGGAAGAATGCTGAGCCTTATGTTACATTAACCGAATTGGGATGTGCGCATAAGACCACAAAATCTAATAAACGAAAATTACCTACAATCTTAAGAAGTTTAGAAAAGGAATTTGAATGCTATTTACACAAATCTATCATAATTAATGCGTAATAATTTATACTGGATTAACTAAATTTCCAATTAATTTTATTTCTCATATAAAATATAGGATTAAAATTAGGCCTTTGTTTCAAGCTTTCTGTTCTAATCTTAAATTTTAGTTTTATTGTAGTTCAATAATAAACAATGGTACATCTTATTTTTTTTTAAAAAAAGACATAAATTATCTTTAAAATTACAAATATCTCAAATTTTATGAGATTCAAAGGTCATCCTTTATCTCATTACCTTTTGTTATTTCATATAGAAATTATAAACTAACCATTCTCTGTTTATATTTATTTCTTCGAAATTTGTATCTTCCAGAACAATGCACTGGGGGTGCCTTCACTTACGAAAAGATGACTGGATTTATTCTCCGATCAGCCGTCCAAAATTCCATCATGGTGAGCAATCCGGGAAGCTTGGGGAATACCCTGGAATGCCAGGAATATTGCCAGAGAGATGGTCTTGACTGCCCTGCATTTTCAGTTAATTACCAAAACATGAGATGCGATAAGCTGGACCGGAATTCCCAGGGTAGGACTCAGGACCTTATACCAAGAGACGGAGAGAATTATTTTGAAAAGATTTGTTTAAGAGGTAAGCAGGTCTTCTCTTGTTGGTTTAATAAACCGCGTTAAGAATTTTCTAAAGAAGTGGAGGTTTACGAACTTCTTAAGCAGAAGAGTTATAAGGGAAACAGCTCATTAAAAGCAACGCAGTATTTGGTAGAAAATTAAGAAATATCAAGAGCATGAAAGGAGAGAATTTAGAAATTTTACGATGATACAATATAAATTTATTAAATCTCTATTTTCGGCAGAACTTACTTAAATGGGGAAGAAGATCTTTTTTTATAGAGAGTATATAATTTACCGCAAGTTAAGTAGTTTCCCACAGTGTAATATTCAGTAGCCAGTAAATGCATGCATATTCTAGCACTCTATAGCTATTTACAGAGTCTTTCATTCTAGAAAATATTGGGATCAATTTACATACTTAGTAATTGATTTTATAAATTAACTAACTGGTATAATCAGAATATTGTTGTTGAGACTGTATCAGCTGTTCTCATTCAGAGTTGCAGAAGGTGCAATATTAGATTAACGGATTGAAACTTAAAATATTTCTCATTTTCGAAGACTATAAAAATTTTTAAATGAAATATTTATTTACGTAACTCTAAATGTTGCCAAATTAGTAAATTTTCAGACAAATACCTACTGTTTCATATTATGGAATCCTACTTTCTAAGCTAGAAATCTTTATAAGTGAAAATGTCTTATATTGCATATACCACTTGAAGACACTTATTTATGAATATCTTTCTGCAATTTTACACATCTCACTTCTCACAAAAGGAAACTTCTTACGCGGGGATTTCTTATATACGTTCCATTGTATGTAATATACATACTGCTAAGTGTTTCAGAATTAGATTTCTTAGGCTATGAATCTTTGTAATGGAGCCTTTCTGTTCTTAAAACTTATGCACATATCTTTTAAAGACATTGGTCTTTGCATACCTGTTCTAGAACTTTATGAAACAAACTTCTTAGAAGAGAAAATTTCTTATGGGGGTTTTTCTTATCCATGTACAATTATACATAGCGAGCAATGTATACGATGCTAACCAGGGGATTCATGTTTGCTCCTTATATGTTCAAAGTTTAATTGCATCCCAATAATATAAAACATAACTATTTTGTGTAAAATTGGTATGCAAACAGTTTATAGTTCTGGTCCTTTCAACTCACACATCAAACGGCTGTAGCCTTGATAGAATGATACCATTACATCTTACAGCATATTAAATTCTACTTTTTTCTTCAGGTCCTGTCGCCACCGCATGCAAAGACAGAGCCTGGGCCTTCGAGCGGGTGCTAGGCCACGAGTTGGAGGCTCAGTTATACGACCGGGCCGTGCCCTTCGTACAGAGTAGGAGGGACTGTGAAGAGCTTTGCCTCGAAGAGCGGAGTTTCGTCTGTCGATCGGCCCTTTATAACGATGATACAACGGAATGCAAGCTGAGCAGAGAAGACAGAAGGACACTACCTTCTTTCTACAGAAGAACGAACAACATGAAAGTAAACTATTTGGAAAACCAGTGCTTGCCAGGTGAGAAATATTGTTAATGGCTTTGCGTTTTTTGTTTTATAGTTTAATATTGTTTAATGTTAAGCATTATTATGAAATAATATAAATATCCAGTAGAATACACAAACTTTTCTTTATGATTTTCCATGTCTTCATAATAATAATTAGAAGAGGTACTCAATATAATCAGAGGAGACTGAGGCATCTTTGTGCGCTGGAGGAGTTAGAAATTCAGTACTAAAGAATGATATAATTAAGTCGGTTATGCGTACCTTCATGGAATGAGACCTTAAGAGGTACTTCAAAAGAACTGTTAAAAATATCTCTTTGGGGGTTAAAAATTCTAAATGTGAAATATTTATATTATAAAATAACACTTAAATGAAGAACTTATGATTAAAAACTTTCTAATTTTTTTTATATGTGTAGTCGTGTCTTCTCATTCAGATTTCCAGTTTAATATCTGTCATTTTAAACTAAATAGTAAAGATGATTTTAGATTAATCGTAACACTTTCGAGCTTTAATACTCTATTTATATCCAGCTCTTCAAAATGACAGTGCAAAATGTCCGAGAGAAGAATAAAAGATTGCAATGATATTATTTCACCACAAGTCCACTTGTAACCTTACGCATATATTTAATAAAAAAAAAGACTTAACTGTTCAAGACTCAGATGTCCATTTTTTTCACTTAATCGCTTGCCCTCGAAGTTTGAAGATATATTCACCTTAACTGAAAATGCAAGAACTGCTTTATCAGGACATCAATTCGCGTAATGGAAATAGTATTCAGGTGTTAATAACGACGAAACATTTTTAGACGTGATATAAGTAAAATATTCTGGAATAAGCTGAATGTTGTGCGAGAGTCACTTTTTTTCTTCACTATTTTAACATCAAGGAATGGTTAGTTCATCTTTTGATTTTAACTTTTACTGTTTTACAGAATCCTTGTTTCGTTCGTGTATCAATAAACTAAACATTCTTGCGGATATTGTTAGTGATGCAATTTGTCTCAAAAAACGTATTCGAATATTTTAGGTGTATTCCTTCTGGATGGTATAAATATATATTTAAATTAAAAAAATTCTCAATACATTATTTAGAAATTCTACCGTAGAGAACTGCAGCTTCTCTCTCAATACGTCTTTCTATTTATTTAATCCGGTTTGATGAATGTTTGCTCTGACCAACGAAATTAGGTGCATATTATATGAATGCATCTGCTGTTATGCTTTTATTTTTATTGTAATGACTTTTCTTACTGTGATTATCAAACATGCTAACATTTTAGCTGTACTTCAAGTGCATAGTAATAAGATTCGATCCAAGGGCATTCTAAAAATTTATTCTTAGGCGCATAGCTGCATTGATACTCGTATAGGTATTTCTCATTTTATCTGGCATTGCAAGATATTTTTCAGGCGGCTAGATATCATTATCTCTTGCTGATTGTTATCTGAATTTAAAAATATGCACTTTTGAACTATTATAGTAACAAAAAGAATATTTTAAATTGTCTGCAAAAGCATATCGAGAATTTTTCTGACACTTCTTTTTTCTTTACAGTTTTGACTTCATGCCCCTACGAGGAGACAACCGACTCTTATCCAACCTACACTGATCACATCCAAATGGTAGGCATTACATCAAACGAAGTCTGCGAACAGTTCTGCACACAGTATCGGAGTTTCAACTGTCGGTCTTATGCTTACTATTCTAGCAACGGTCAGTGCTTCCTGAGCGGTGATGACAGGGCTAGTGGTGGTAGCGGGGCCGTCCAGGCTAGGCCTGGGCTTGTATATAACGAAAGAAAATGTCCGGCTGTGACTCCTCCCACCGAAACGCCAACCCCTCCCACTACAGAATCACCTCCCCCAAGTAAGTCAGTCTTAACAATAGTAGTATGACATTCACATACATATGTGACACCAGAACGTATAGTATAACAAATAAAGTATAATAATAAAATAAATTAACGAGCGCATCAAGTAGTGAGGTAGAAAGCAGTCCATAGTTAGTAACAATAGCATGCTTTCTAAGGAAGCTGTACAGTAATTAGGGCATCTAAATGTTGAAGAAAGTTATATGATTACAACTAGTAAGAGAAAACAAGAAATAAGAATCTATCGATAGAAAATCTAGAGGCTCAAAAGATTGTTTATGAAGAAGTAGAGAGCATATGGTCTTCGTGTGTAAGGAGATGAATATATTTCTCTCGTGTGCTTTTGTGGTGGAGCGTTCGACACATCAATCTAACAACTGCAAGACTCGCGTTTAGTATCCAGCGAGGGAGCGGCTGATTTCAGATTTCCTACTCCAAGACACTCAGTGATTCTACAGTGGATAAATTAAACACATTCCTATTGTGTGCTGTTCGGCACATTCAACAGGCAATTGGAAGACACTAGTTTATTCCCTAGCAGAAACAGAATTGATAGCTGAGGTCACTTCTCCTCAGAAAAAACTGAAGATTGTTAAAATGATTAATCATGTTCCAGGATCTTGTACTTGAAATTATCAATGTCATTTAAAAGTTCAGTAATAGTTAGCTGTATTGAAAAACACATTAATTCTATGCATTATATTTTCACGTTATCAGTTTATTATCTGTATTTAACGCTTTACCGTATAAGATAAGGAATTTTTGCAATATTCCTGAAAATTTTATTTTGACTAATCTGTATTTCATTAAGTTTTCTGATACTTGCTGTGCACCAAACTGGGGACTAATCGTTCTGAACAGCAGGATAACCATAAATTTTAAGTTCCATCGCCAAGTATTAAAGTGAAAGTCTTTGGTGACTCCTTGGATATCTCGGGGTTGTATCCAAGGGACATTCAACGTTCTAGCATAAAGGTGCAACAACCCGATGACCGATTGGATAAGACGACAAAAGGGGATCCGGAGCTCAACAGGAGAAGAAAGGAGGAAAGTAGAAAGTTCGATGATCGAAAAATAGTGGAAAGTGACAAAGACCTCTACTTATTCTGAGAAGTGAATAGAGGAATTTACTACGAGTTTATTATGGGAATTAAATAACTTCAACGACTTTTCGCGAGGCAATCAGTCTAGAAGCGCCGGGAGCCTATCATTGTAATATTAAGCTCTCAAAGGAATATATTGAACCTTAGTCCGTAGCATACATAAAACGACTGATTTTTCTTAATTAATGAGCTGCTAAGCTTAATTCATGAATATCTGAGCTAACTTGTGTCAAGAAATTGGTAGTTTGAGAAATGAGCTTTTAAGTGTTTATGACAGAATAATCAAATTTCTATTTAAACTATTCAGTATGTAATTTCCGACTTTTAGTATGATCAACGAGCATGTAAATAGACAACGCCGACCAGGGACAGGGACAGGGAAAAGTGGACGGAGCACCAGAATTTCGTCAGTGACTTTTACAAGTGTTGCTCCGCCGCACTACTGTACCCCGCTGGGCTTTCAGTTGGCCCGCATCGGATGCTAGCCTACCAAGACATTTACATAGTAATTTTACATTACTATTAGATTTACGTATTGAATATACAATTACAAAGACACAGTATACAGTTATTACAAAGAAATTGACCTATTAACAAAAGTTGGATTATGGCAGATTAATATAACATAATTACTTTGAACATACATACAAACTTTCATTGTACACGGAAATTGTACATTGTACTTCATACAAACAATATATTTACATTAGTATATCTAGTTATATCGAATTACAATAAACATCTTTTTAAGTAACTAATTGGGAAAGTTTTTTTTTCATCTTATTATACTTAGATGAATTACTAAGGCGAATTATCTTATTAATATATTTCCTTTCATTTTTTAACTTGTTACACACAACTGCATCAGCACTGAAGTCTTACATTATTATTTTTGTAAATTAATGTATCATAAACACAGAAAATATACATTAGAAGATCACATAGTACCTACATTTACACTAATATATCTAATAGAGTCGTATATTATTTTTTAATTAATGATTTAATTATTACAAGATTTTCCCCCTCATGTCCTAATACAGTCAAATTCTTAATGTAATTATTTTGTAAAAACTATTTATACCATATTTAGCCTGTTTCAGACATTTGCAATATTTCTGAAATCTTCATAAATATTGCAAGTTATGGAATAAGAGGTATTTATACAGATGTGATAACATCTTGACATATGTCTTCTCTTTTATATGCGAAAAGTTTCTTCATAATCAAGGAAACCTTTTGTTGTAATTGAGGGATCGTTAGCATGCATTTAGTGTACTCAGGCGTAATTTGTGACCTTCCTTTGCAGTGTAGATCTTTTGTGAGCTGGCACTTGAAAATATAGTGCTCAGTGAAATGTATTATAAGGCAAGCCATACTCACTGGAGTGGCCTTAATGAAAAGCAATGACCTAAATTTAGTACAATTTTCTGTCGGCTATTGTAGCCGGATTAAGACAGTCTGGAACCCAGGTAAAATGTTCTGTCATAAGTCTCTAACTTATACTTTCATTGTTTTTATAAGGGGTAAATAAAGAATTGGGGAAAAAGTATGGAATTCTTTTCAAGTTTCCTGAGAAAAGGTATAGAATAGTTTTGAAGTTTCCCAAGTTTTAATTCTAGGCCAGGGTATTGTAATGAGGTTCTGCAAAATACGTTGTTAATGTGCAAAGTGTAAATAAGTTGTGAGTCAAATTTCACACCACGGCAGATAGCGTTTACGTAAGGAATCTTTTTGTCTGAAGAGAAAAAGTACTTTTAGACTTTCTTTTCTGTGCTTAATAACTAAGACTGAAAATTTTGCAGCATTATAATTCATGTTCTCTCTTTTTTTACATTATCGTTTAATATACTGAAGTTTTTGCTGACGCTAGACTAGAACAAAATTTAATGACTTAAGGATACTAACTGTATTGTCAGCACAGCAACAGATAAGACAGTGAACATCTTGTCAGAGAACTGTGCACATAAAGTTTAAATTAACTATGCGGTACAGGTGTATAATACGTACCTTTGAAATACTCTTGTTTGACTACACTAGGCAAAATAACAATCTTGATTACGAACTCGGTAAGGAAATATTTTGTGCAATATTTCTTTCTGTTACGAAATGTACAGGCGCGGTGAGATGGCTTCCCCGAAAAGCAGTTTTAGAGTTGCCATAAAATGGCAAGGGAAGGCAAGGTTGCCACATTTGGTGAGAAATCGCTCATCTGACGACAAAATTGGCGATATACCATGGACGGTTGGAGAACCATCTGGAACGAATTCTTACCGGTTTAGTCCAGAATGTTCCCGAATACAAGCCGAAAGCTATATAAACCGTTCTGGTACGCAGTCAGTTAGTAAGTCTCAGAGTGTGTTGTCTCTCATCGAGAGTGAGTGTGTCTCGTCTAGCGAGTCAATCCCTGCGGAGTCGATCGAGTTGACAGCCGGGCAGCGAGTGCCAAGTGGGTCGTCGAGTCCACCGAAGGAGTCTGTTAGTGTATCGCGGTTAGTGCATCGTCGAGAGTTGTAGCGTGAATCGCGAGTTGTAGCGTGAATCGCGAGTTGTAGCGTGGAGAGTCTCGAGAGTACGTGGAGTTCCAAGAACGACCAAGCAGAGTCGGGAGCTGTACTCCGGAAAGCAGAGACGGGTGCTTTGCAGGAAGCTTTCTCCACCGTGATAGCCTGATAACTGAAGGCTATGCGCTGATCGTGTCAGCGTGTTTATAGTAGATCTTCGACGACTGTAAAACGTTTTGGAGCTGTCCTGACAATACTGGCAAATAAAGTGTGTTTCGATACTTCATAAAGTGTCGTCGTTATTCACTCCAAATCTACACGAACACCGTACGAACGTAAAGGAAGAAAATAACGTTACAACTGGTGCCAGGAGAAGAATAGGAAAACCGTAATACTTCGATTGGTCATCACAATCACAAACTTATATATTAAAAGAGAAAAATGCCAAATTTAATGATAAATTACTCTAAACAAATATAAATTACATTGATCTTTTAAAACGTTCTCTTCAGGTACTGAGAAATATATAATAAATGATTTAAATGGATTGCATAGATAAAATTTATCTCAATTTGTTTCTATTTCTGATGACAGATTACAATGATAACTGTAGACAGAACAAACAAAGATGAAAAAGAACAGTAAAATTAAAATGTGTCTATAGTATTCTATAAACGTTTCTTATGTCTCACCTCTCCCAGAGTGATCCTATCCAACATTAAGCGTAGGGCAACGATTCAGATGTCAGGCATCCGTTTCCTCATGAAGGTTGCACAATTTACAAATTGGGATTGAGATAATAATCATTCGATGAAATTATTTCAAAAACCAATTGTGGCAGTAACAAGACGTAAAATAGCACCCGATTTCTTTTTTGGCCATAAAAAAGGAGTTCAAAACTTCTGTTTACCCATACTCTATGACTGTTCCTTTCAGTAACATCTTTCCAACGAGCTTCTCTATAGATTTATCTCAATGTTTAACTGTTAAAACAAACAAGTACAAAATAATAATTTCTTTATAATTATTAAAATAAATGTTTATTAATTGCTGTACATTACATTTCAAATAAGCTGAAAAGTAAATTTGTTTAGTACACTGGCTTTCCATTCTGGATTAAAGTTGGAGTATTTTTCGCATTTTTTAGCTTTAGTAACTGTAATCAATCAGCTAACTTATTATCATTCAATCGTAATTGTAAAATAATTCAGTTTTCGTTTGCTTAACCTGTTCTTTCTTCCGAATATATGAGCATAACAACCATATAGATTAAACATTATTCTTTGTGATACAATGCAGCTTATAGAAAAGCTATTAGCATACAGTAAAAGTGTATACTCATGCTTTTGTCGTGGTAGAGAAAGTAATCATCGCGAAAAACTAGTATTACTAAGAATTCATAATTATTAACAACAATCGTATTTCTTACTGATGCTAATTTATCGCCATGTATTATTTCTTGTACCATCCCAAAAGCACGAATATATAATTTTTAATGCTTCTAATTATATTAATATGTCACTTTGTATGTTTAGCACTATATAGAGAAATAGAAATGTAAATTCTGTAGGATAAATATTTTCGAATGCCTGTTCAAAAAATCTTAACTTGTAAAATATTTTCTTCGTCCTTCTAGCATGCCTTTGTGAGGTAATTGTGGGTATTCGAGAGGTCCAGGTTCGAGTCCTGGCTAGGGCGTTGCATATTTTTCACGTCTTCCTTTTTCAAAATAAGCTAATGGCTCTACAAAATTTCCTCAAAATAAGTCATGTACCATATATTTATCTGCGTTTTGATGAGTTGCCGAATAAATGTAATATAAAATTCATAATTTTTTATTACTAAGATCGTTTAATCAAAAGTGACCATACACACATTCTGTGGACGTTTTTCAGTGCCATGTTGCGTTCTGTAAAGGTGCTCGCTTTAAAGAATATGACTATCAGTAATTTTCAATACCGATATAAAAGGCAATTAATTTAAACTTTTCATATGATTTAATCCCTGTTCATTTTCCAAAATGAGAAACAGAGCTAGACGCACGAATTTGTTCACAGGCTAGAGTTTAGTGAAGTAAGTGAGCTTCTTTAAACGTATGTCTAGAAAAACACGATTTCTTGATTATTAGAGGTATTTCTGATCTCAAAACACCATCCTCATAACCGTTGAAACTGCATTAAAAAATTCACGCGTGTTAGCAAAATGCGAAGTATTTTTCCGTCATTTATTTTAAATCGTGATACTACAATTAAATCCCGGACTGTCCTTCAAAATCCGGGACATCTTGGCAATTAAATTTAAACCCATTTCTATCTAGGATGTTCTAATTTCATCTATTTTATGTAATATATATGCTCAATCAATATTTTTCCAGTATAATTTAACCTGATATCTTCAACTGATGAATTCTACATAATAAGGCTTTGATGGAATGATGTTTCAGGTTAAATATTTCAAATTATAACACACTTTTCTTTGATATTTCTGACTTTTCTCATTCCAGTAACTTGGAATGTGACTTTGTACTATCATAAAAAGTGAGGGGAGTCTCTCGTACATTTCAGTGTAATGATTACGTCATCAATAATCCAATAACGATGACTCACGAGTGTTACGACCGTTTTTCATCTGAAAAAAAATTAAAACAAGAACAACTGCAATAACCATATAAAAACCTCTTTTTCAATTGTTCTGAATATTTCAGAAACAAGTCATATTTATACAGGGCATGTGGTAAAACTACAAGGTTTACTGATCCTAAATATGTTTAAGCATAAAATTTACCAAATGAGGAAGAAAATTTTACGCAACACTGCTTTACAACAACCCTGAAGAGAAAAGTCATTACCACAGATAATGTCGAAATTTCATCTAGCTAGATCTATCCTAAGATACAAACATTCTTTTCTGTAGCAGATGAAATTTTTAATTTTCAAGCAGGAAAATGTTTCTGTCCGTGATGCATGTCGTTTGTCAATATGACCGAACATGTTGCCGAAATGAATCAACTGCCTTGGCTCGCATGGTTTCCCGACCTATGTATTATCGAACTGCTGTACTCTAATAGCACTTCAGAATCTATATACACCAGCAGCATCTCTATAAGAACTTGTAAGATTTTTCATGAAGAATGGTATATTAGTAGCCTCACCAGAATTCATAAATTATAAAATTCTATTCCAAGTCGTAGTCATGCAGTAGTACAGGGTAAAGGGTTTCTTAATTCGTATTGATAAAAGGTTTCGCGTAAAATTTCCATTATTTTAACAACCGGAATGTACACTGAGGTAGGGACTTTTTTATGTTTCGCACACCGTAAATACGAGCCAGTTTTCTATCGAAAGTCATTCAGGCGTCCATGCTCTTTGTAGGTAGCCCTCGTATGCCTTACCACTATCGATTAAATTAAGCAAAAAACACAAAATAAAAAATATTTATATTTTATTTACAAATTTCAAGCTACTGAATCCACATATTACATTTATTTTTCACTATCAAGCATCGTTTTCAAGGAAATCAAAAAGATATACATATCTGTGCTAAGAAATTAATCTTACCATCCACATCCTTTCTATAGCTTTAACAGTTAGGAGTGGCATAGTTTTAAATGAAGCTGACGTAAAGTTTCCCTTATTAGCTAAGATTTCAAATAAGGTATTTGCTCTCACCGTATAAACTATTTTTATGTGGAGACAGTTTTTTATAATGAGAGAGCTGTCCCTGCATAACTATCCGATTCACATACAGAATAACTGTATTACTCAATGGTCATTTGCGTTTATGACAAAAATGCCATTGCTTGCCGAGTAAACTGTAGGCATTAGAAAGTAAAACTACTTTAAAACAAGTTCTGGATCTGTCGATGAAAATTCTCCATTTTTTGACAGCTACTTTTCCTTTCCGGTTTACAAGATAGCTTAAATTAAAAAAATAAATAAATAAATAAATAAATAAATAACTATCAGGGCAGCAGCACAGGGGGATTCAAAATGATTGGCAAAATTTCAAATGAGCAAGGTTTCTTGCCTTTTACATATGTGTTAATTTGATACAGCTCAAAAATTTACATTGTCGTCAAAATACAATATTTTCTTAATGGAGTTAATGTTTTGTTAAATAATCGCAGTAGATCTGAAGATTTAGCTCTCTAAACTAACCTCCCATTTTACAGGATCTTACATCATGCTATCTTGTTTCTCTGAAAGTGTATGTTAAGGTTTTACATTATTCTTTGCTAAAATGGCTCACGATCCAATATAATTTTAAAATTTGCATTGCTGTTATTGCGTAGACTGTAACAATGGACACAAAACAAATATACTAAAAATATGTTCGTCGTCTTTTCGCTGGCCGTGTAACTAAAGCCACGTAAACATTTTCTTACGGTATCACATATTGCTTGTCCTTTTAAGTAATAAAATTTGAGATATAAAGTAATTTGAAATGGAGTTAATCATTTTGAATTACCTAGATCGTTTTGTTAATGGCTACTGAAATTTCATCCCTTACATTTCTAAAATTTCAATCCAGTTTTACAGTTTACTTAAAATGAAGTACTTGTGATACATTAATAATTAATTATATTATATTCAAAATGGCCTGTGATAAAAACTTTTCTCAATAACAGTGTTTTTTTTTTCTATTTAATAATGCCATTTTTACATAAAAGAAAACCAATTTATGGATACTAGCACACTCTTAATTCCGGTCCGAGGCTCGAAACCCGCGAACGAGCCGGCTGCATGGTCGTTTCCGTGATTTTCCCTATGTGTAACGTATATAAGAGCCATTTTCTTTTAGAAAGTACTCTACGAAGACATCCCCCTGACACAGATAGCCATTGAAGCTTTGCCGTGATCACACAACACCCCAGAAGAAACTTAATTCCGTTTCAGATATTGTAAAGTGTTCTCAAACTAATTAAATTCATATGTATTTATTTCCTTTTGTCTACAGAAATGTGTTTTCGTAGCTAATCTGATTCTTATTCATTTTGTTTAAACTGTAAAATAGTGTTTTCAAATTATTTAACTTCATTTCATTTGTAGTATTCTCTACCTATGAGTAGTTTGATATATAAAGAATCATTTCGATTCATATACAGAACAATGTTCTCAAATTAATCTTATATTTATTCATTTCCTTTCGTCACTAAAATCCTGTTCTCAAATTATGTGATATTTATTCATTTCGTTTCATATACAGAATAACGTTCTAAAATTAATTTGATATTTATTCATTTCGTTTCATATATAGAAGGCCGCTTTCAAACTAATTTGTGTTTAATTTTATCTGCAGAACAATGTTCTCAAACTAATCTGATATGCTATATTCATTTAATTCCATCAACAGAGTGATCTCAAACTAATGTGATATTTGTTCATTTTGTTTCAAGCACGCCAGTGCAGCCACGGAGAGATCATCATGCTGGAAAAGACAACCGGATACCAACATCTCAGCAGCGTTTCTGTTTTGTATCGTGGCAATCCAGATATTCCAGGAATCATCGTCGAGTGTCGTAGGATGTGCGAACTCAACTATGAGTGCCGGGGGTTCACATTGGACTACTTGAAACAGGAGTGCTACAGTGGGTCCGAAACATCGGTCACCAAACCGAAAGAACTCATTTCAGCCGAGAACAAGGCGTACTTCGAAGGCATCTGTCTGCCATGTAAGCCGAAAATGTTTTTGGATAATTATTGAAACATCAAAGTTTACCTTACTCTTTTGCTTTTATATAGCTCTTTATTATTTGGCACATTTTTTATTCTACAAAAAATATGTTTTAAACACAATATTGTTTATTATGCAGTATGATAGAAAATACAAAACTATATTTTATATATATACAGCATTAGACTGTTGGATGGGAGCAAATGATAAGTTGCCAAATATGTATATCAACTCATCTTACACTGTTGTGTAATTTGAAGAAAAAGGCTAGAGGGCGCTGTTGCTTGCTTAGTTGTAAGAGAATAAAGTTTGTTCATGTTGAAGGCGGCGGCCTAAGAATACGCTCTGTATATAGTAATTAAAATATTGTTTAAAATGTAAAAGTGTTAAAATTAGTAAACCCACTGAACCACCATCATCTGATTTGGAGATGCACAAAATTATTAGATGGTGCATCGGCGTAAGGAATTAAGGCTTTGTGAAGATTTTAGGTGTTTCGATCCAAGTGTTTCCGATTTTAATTTAACAATGGATATTTCATATTCAAGGTGACAATGGAATTCCAAATAAAGGTAGGGAAATCTTAAATTAATTATTTAGTGATATTTGTAGTACATTAGTAAGTATTTATTATTGCTGTCGTGGGGTGTATTTAAATTAAATAAAATGGAAGAAAAGTTAGATAGATTGAAACGTAAACGTTCCACATTGAGATCGTCTGTTACTAGGTTAATTAAAGTGATTGAAGATAAATTAAAAATTGAAGGGGAGGAAAATTTGATTAAAGAATTACGAGAATTGTTGAATTATTAACCGAAAAGAAAATAATTTAAGAACGCTTGATGATGAAATACAAGAGTTAATTGATGTTAACTTAATTGAAGAAAAGAAGATTGTAGTATAAGCGAAGAATACAATGACAAATGTATAATTGCTTGTAGTCAAATTAAGCAGTTTCTAGGTACGGTTACCGCAGTACCGCCAGCGAGGAATCCCCAAAGTTCTGATTTAAACCAGTCTAGTGGTAATGGAATTTTTTGCATGTAAGTTCCAGTTCTAGTGGGAGTAGTACGCTGAAATTACCAAAAATTAATGATTGATAAATTTGGGGGAGACCCCAAACAATGGAATGAATTTTGGAATAGTTTCGAAAATTCGATACATAAAAACGAAACGCTTTCAAAAAATAAAAATTTGTATACTTAAAAAACATTCTTAACGGGACAAGCTTCGAATGTTGTGTCAGGCTTTGAGTTAACAGAAAGTAAATTATGATAGTTTGTGTAGCATTACTAAAGGACAGATATGGTCGAAAAAGACCTGATCATTAATTCATTCATGAATAAAATTCTCAATTTAGAAGCCGTTAAAAATTCTGCTAACGTAAAGGCTTTACGTAAATTATATGACGAATTAGAAGTTTCGATTCGTAATTTGGAAACTTTAGAAGTAACTTCTGGCTCATATGGACATTTATTAATTCCAATATTATTAAAATTAATTCCGGACGATTTAGTTTTGGAATTTAATCGGCAAAGAGGATCGAAAGATAAAGTTGAAGTTTCGGAATTAACACAATTTATTAAAACGGAAATAGAATGCAGGGAAGTTTCAAATCTAGTATTAAAGCGAAAGGAAAAAAAATCCTGTGCCTCCGCGAGTCGATCAATCAAAATATGAAACTAGAAAATATGTAAAAAATACACCCACGGCTGCATTTCATACTGCAGTTAACCGAAAAAATGCATCTTTTGTGATAATTTTGCACGAGTCATTTAAATGCGAAGTGAATGTTTCTGATAAATTAAAGAAACTAAGATCCGAAAACCGCTGCTATTTTCTTGTTTTAAAAAAATTCCATACATCAGAAAGGTGCAAAAGTAAAAATAAAACTAAATGTAATAAATGTGGCGGTATGTATCACAATGAATCGATTTGTACTAATAAATCCCTTGTAAACAAAAAGTTGGAACAAGGTTATTCCAAAAATGAAACTGAATCTCTGACTTTGAATTCTGAGGAAAGAAATAAAGTTCAAAACTTAAAATTGATTGCTTCTGTTCCTCAATGTGATAATAATAATGACTGTAATGCTAGGGAAATATTATTACAAACTTGTACAGTTTATGCTTGTTCTAAGTATAAAACAAAATTAACTAGATTAATTCTTGATCAAGGCAGTCACAGATCCTTTATAACGAAAAATTGGCCGACCATTTAAAACTTACTCCAATCCGTTATGAAAGACTTTCCTGTTTATTCATTTTGGTGCGACCGAAGGCAATGAATCATTCCTATCCGGTTCGTTGAAATCGAAATTCAGAATTGGAAACAAAATAATAAAATAAAAATTGAATGTTTGATCTCGGATGTTATTTCCTCGGCGTCCATCAAAGTGTGCCCTAGTAAACAAATTGCAGACTTCATGGAGCATATGGGGTTGCAGATCGCCGATTGCGCAAGAAAAAATAACATAGATGTTGAGATATTAATTGGAGGGGATGAATTCTGGAATGTAGTTTATTCCTGAAAGAATTAAAATATCTGAAGCGTTGTACGCAGTCAGTTCTGTGTTTGGTTGGGTTGCCGCAGGAATCGAGAAAAATAAAACAAATAAAAATTGTTCTGAAAATTTAGCGGTAATGACAAACACTGTTGTGTTGAAAGATTTAAAAGGTTTTTGGGGAATTAGAACATATGGGAATTAATGATTCTGATGACTATTCCGATATTGACTGCGAAATAGTAGACCAGTTTGAAAGAAATTTGCAGTTTAAAAAACGGAAGATATGAGGCAAATTTAATCTGGAAATACAGTCCGAATAATCTAGGAAATAATTTTGAGGTAGCTAAGAAACGATTCGCAAACCTTCACAATAAACTAAGTAAAACTCCGGAGATTTTTCGGGAATAAAAATATAATTGAGAACCAGATATTAGAAGGAATTGTGGAGGAATGTCCGAATAATGATACAAATTTGGGATATTTTATGCCTCACCGAGCAGTGATACGACCTAGTGAAACTACTAAGGTAAGAATTGTGTACGATGCTAGCTCAAGGACAGAGGACACGAATTCGTTAAATGACTGCCTTGAATCGGGAGCTAATCTAAATCCAAATATACTAGACATTATGTTAAATTTTCGTAAGTTTAAGATAGCGTTTTGTGGAGACGTTGAAAAAAGCCTTTTTGATGATAGGGAATTGCTGAAGGTGATAGAAAATTTCTAAAATTTCTTTGGTTTAATGAAAATAATGACTCCTTTAAGATTATGCAAATGTGTCGCGTAGCTTTCGGTTTGACTATATCTCCTTTCATTTTGGCCGCCACTATAAAATATCACATTCGAAAATATAAAGATAAAATGCCGGACAGTTTCCAAATGTTAAATTCTTCTGTCTATGTCGATGACCTATATTTTGGAGCAGGAAGGAACGGTTGAAGATGCATATCGGTTATCTGTAGATGCGGTTAATATATTTAAGGATGCTGGGATGAATTTCAGAAAATTAAGAACTAATTCTAAAGCATTAAACGATTTATGGGTCTCAGATGGGATTAAGGAATCAGACAACAAATTAACTAGTGAATCGAATTTCTTAGGCATGATTTGGAATTCCATTGAAGACGATAAAAAGTTAAATTTAAAAAATTTAATTGACTTTTCTACTGGAAACGATTTTGCTACAAAAAGGAAACATTTGCAAAGCATCGCCCAAATATACGATCCATTTGGATTTATTGCACCCTTTGTTATTCGGGCAAAAATTATTATGCAAGAAATCTGGTGTTCCGGTTCTGACTGGGATGAGGTCCTTCCTGCAGAGATTAAGGACAAATTCAACATTTGGCGGGAGGAACTTAATGATTTAACTGAAATATCGATACAGAGAAATTTCTTTGATGACGATCCAATGAATATAAGCCTTCACCTATTTTCGGACGCTAGTCCTAAAGCATATGGGGCCATCTCATATTTCAGATATTGTACGAGTGATTCTAAAATTAAAACTTCCTTTATCATGTCGAAATGCAGAGTTGCACCTTTAAGAGCAATCACGCTTCCTCGTTTAGAGTTAATGGGAGCACTCATGGCTGCTCGAATGTATAAATACTTGAAAAAATTGTTTGGTGATTTAATTGAGGATGTTTATTTTTGGAGTGATTCCGAAATCGCCATTACTTGGATTAAAGGTTCGCCAAATAATTGGAAACCATTTATCGCCAATCGTGTTACAGAAATACAGAGTATATGCAACAAAAAATTGTGGAACCATTGCGAAGGGAAACAAAATCCTTCCGATTTACTAACTCGAGGAATTAGTGCTCAGTCACTAGTTAAGAATGATCTGTGGTGGCATGGGCCACACTGGTTACGTTTTCCTACTGAAAGTTTTCCGAGACAAAAGAAATTACAACCAAATTCAGAATCGTTGGAGTTAAGAAAAGGTATTATTTTGACTGTACCTGTAATTAACAATGAATCCCCAATTTTGCATATAGAAAAATTCAGTTCTTTAGGAAAATTACTTCGAATTACTGCCTATGTATTTAGATTTATTGGGAGGCTTCGGAAAAGGTCTACAGAGAATGGACCTTTAAGTGCTTTTGAGATTAAAGCAGCTGAACATTATTGGGTAAAAATTACGCAACGAGAATCGTAACAAGCGGAAATAATTAAGTTATCAAATAAAAAATCAATTCTCGATTCTTCCATCTACTCCCTTAATCCAAGGCTTGATGAGGAGGGAATTCTTCGGTTGAAAGGTCGCATTCAATTTGCAGACTGTCACGAGAATTTAAAACATCCTATTCTATTACCCTCAAAATGCAAGTTTACCGAGTTGATCATCATGGACTCGCATGAAAGGGTATTCCATGCTGGAGTTAATTCGACACTAACTCAGATCAGAGACAAATATTGGATCATTAAGGGAAGACAGCGTGTTAAGACTATCATCAGAAAATGTGTGATATGCAAACGATATAGTGCACGTCCTGGGGTACAGGATATCGCTCCACTTCCTCCAGACAGAATCCAAGAGTCGCCTCCATTTGCTGTGACCGGGTTGGACTTCGCCGGTCCATTTTTTACGAAAGACAGGCAAGGTAAAGTTTACATGCTGTTGTTAACGTGTGCGGTCACTCGTGCCTTACATGTAGAGATAGTAACTGATCTCAGCACTGAAAGTTTTTTGCTAGCTTTCCGAAGATTTTTAGCTCGCCGAGGACTGTGTACCACCGTGTACTCCGATAATGCCAAGACTTTTAAAAGAGCTGATAAAGAACTAAAACATATTTTTAAAACTTTGAGTGACTCATCTGTGAAAGAATTATTTTCTGCTAGAGGCATAAATTGGAAATTTATTATTGAGAGAGGGGTCCATGGTGGGGAGGGTTTTGGGAGCGTATGGTACGAACCATAAAATCCAGCTTGCGAAAAATTATTGGTCGATCATCCCTTACTGTGAAAGAGCTTGAAACAGTGCTCATTGAAATCGAGGCAATGATTAATTGTAGACCAATTACCTACGTGTTTACCGATCCCAATGAACCTTCTCCATTAACACCCTCTCATTTTCTGGTTGGTAGACGATTGCTATCTCTGCCTGATAATAAAATAACATCAAATAATTTGACTGGGTCAAGAAATTCAATTATTAAACGATATAAATACCATCAAGATATTTTAAATCATTTTTGGAAGCGTTGGAGATCAGAGTATCTTTTTAATCTGAGATCTGCCAATATTTGTCCTCCACACTCTAACGCATCTCAGTTTAAAATCAACGATATTGTCTTGATTCATGACGACAAACATCCCAGAAATCTTTGGACAATAGGTAAAATTTTGGAATTAATGCCAGGCAGAGATGGTAAAATAAGATCTTGCATAATTAAAACACCTACTGGTACCTTAAAAAGGCCTATACAATTGTTATATAATATGGAACTTAACTAATGTTTGTATTTTGTATTTTTAGGTTTGATTCTCCTGACCTTGCTGATAGGTATCATTTAATGTTTTGTAAAATTTTTTGTGCTTATAATTATGTATGCATGTGTGTTATATTTAACCATTTCTCCAGGATTTATTGTCGAAATATTAATTGAATATTCTAGAATATATTATTGAAAGATGAACTCTCCACCGAGTTCAGGTGGGGAGTGTTGTGTAACTTGAAGAAAAAGGCTAGAGGGCGCTGTTGCTTGCTTAGTTGTAAGAGAATAAAGTTTGTTCATGTTGAAGGCGGCGGCCTAAGAATACGCTCTGTATATAGTAATTAAAATATTGTTTAAAATGTAAAAGTGTTAAAATTAGTAAACCCACTGAACCACCATCATCTGATTTGGAGATGCACAAAATTATTAGATACACCAGTACTGACGACAAAACAAAAATGACCATCTTAGTAATCATATCGAAATAGGATCAAATTATTTAAATAGTTTAAATTTATTATAAATTGTAAACAAGCATTTCTTCTATAAAACCTATGTTAACTTAAATTTTAGGTATGCCAGTTTCAGATTTACACTCTTACATTTTATAAAAATTCTCCCGTTGATCACATTTGGCGAATTCTCGATTTTTATAATTGGAAAGCATTACAAAATCAGTTCGCTCAACGCCAGATTGCCGATATTTCTGATTCCGCTATATCTGTAACTTTGCAAATCTTTTAAAATCTTCATATAAATTACATGGGTAGACCTTTCGTTTTGACTAAAAAAGACGAATGGATTTTGTTCAGAAAAATATTTAGCTAATTTATAGTATACGTAATTATTATCAACGTAAAATCTAAAGTTAAATCTAAAGTCTTGCCTGCAGCATGGCGTATCATATTATTTTTTCCTCTTTCTGACCTCATTTATAATACACAAAAATGATAATGTTTTCTAATACTATAATTACATTCATATGTATATAAAACATAAAATGAATAATATGTGGAATGATCTCAGAAAAATCCATGAATTAAATAATGCTTAAATCCATAAAATAAATAATAATTTAGTAATTTGCATTTTTTCTTTATATTTATTCTCGTTTCTTGGCGCTTAATGTTTGCTCTTTTTAACCTATTCTTCATATGAACTCGATTATTAAACCCAGTTGTTCCGATCTCACAAATTTCCCTTTCTTCATTACTCTTTAAACGTTTCGAAAAATTTCTTGGTTCCATGACAGATGGCATTCCAGTACTGACACAATTTCGCTCAAATTGCGTAGCATAAATTCTCCTTAAAAAAGTACATTTTAATTGTTAATTTTTATTCTAGTTTACTTGGGTTGCTCCAAACAGTGGATGTTCGACCGCTACGTTGACAAAGAACTGCGAGGGGTGCAAGCTAGGGACGTCATCCGACTAGTATCACGGGCCAACTGCGAACGCAGATGTCTGGAAGAAAAGAGATTTGTTTGCCGATCCGCTAATTACTACAGATATAATCAAGAATGTAGGCTGTTTTCTGAAGAACAGAGCTTCCCACATACTCAGTTGTCGTATGCCAGCGGAGTGGAATACTTGGAAAACCAATGCAATGTCGGTGAGTTAAAGACTAATCCTATTTACGGTTCACTCTAAAATACTATTTTCATCGTCTTGTATAAGCAGGATATATCCATTATTAAAAAATATTTTTTGTCTAAAGCAAAGTATGAAATAATCCAATCATAATTTTACTGCGACTAGATACCAAAATAACCTGCTTCTGTGAGACCGGATAAAAGAAATGGCTGTATAATCTAAAGAATCGTACGAAATAGCATTTATGTAACCCATTAATCAGTTTGAAAAATAATACCATATGAATTAAATAAATATTTATTTATGTATTCAAAAAACATAGTAATATTTCTTCATTTGTCGTTTATTTCAGCTTTTGTTTTGAAGTTCTCCTTTCCGAACAACAACAAAAAAAAAAAAAAAAAAAAAAAAAAAATATTATTGTGATATATTGTGACAAAAATTATTCAGAATAATTCGCTAAAAATGCGCGCGGCGAAATCGATTGCAAAACGTTTTTTGGAGGGAACTGTTATGTTTTTAATTTTATGATTGCCGTTTTTACTTCACAGGCAAATGATCGTATTTCAGTCATCACAGTTTTTAACAAGTGATAATTATATACATTTTATCTCTATTTTAATTTTAATTTAGCATAGATTTTTAATGCCTTCAGCTTAGAAAATGGCCCTACATTGAAGCGCGTCAGGATTACACAAGTACTTTTTGCCCCTTGAAAACCTTTTTTATAAGCGTACATTAATTTTGCATTTACACTGGGAAAAGCAAGAAACTCTATACTGAGAAATGCTGCCTAACAGCTATTAAGTCACAACATATACATACAGTGGCTCGATTTATTTATGAAATACGGTGGTTCGATGTCAATCGTGTGAGAGGGGTATTTTTATGTTCTAATTCTTTTATAATTGCTCTTAATAAAATGGGCTTTAGCATATATAAGTAGTTAAGGGTGTACGAATAACTAGAAGAGCAAACGCAAAAGCCAAAGAAAGGTAAGTTGGCTAGTGTCTTAAGTCTTTCTAGGTTATCCTTTAAACAAACTAACGATTAAATGTCTATAAGAATGCCAATCAGCATCGGTTATATGTAGTCAGAGATGGATTGACTACAAGTTCCCTGGCAATACACATCTTCGAGGGTGGAAACAGATAACACAGATAAATATTTTCTGCTAGCTGTTGTCTGGCAACAGGATATTACAGCTGTGGTTTTCTAATTTACACTTCAGTCATGCTGACGTACTGTATTTCTCTGTATTAAGTGATGCCCTGTATTAAATCAGATTTTGTAGTGCTACAGTGATTAGCACGGTAGCTAGATAACGGAACACTAACAGCCGGATACTGAGATAATACCACATAAAGTAGTACAGTAAAATGTAACGTAGTTCACTCTTGCCAAGTTTAAACCTCGCTATCTCGATAACAGCTTTCTAAATTGTAATTTCTATTTTAATGAGTAAGATGTATATAGTGCTAAGAATAAAAATATGCTATTAACATATATATTTTCTTCAAAATTTTTATTCACATGAAACTGAAGCAAAATGAGTACGATTGCTAATTTTCCGCTCTTTCATTGTCAGAATGATGAGTATATGCGTAAAATGATCTTTGAAAATACAGAATGTCAAATAAGAAGATTCAATTAATTCCAGAGTATCATAACCTTTCTCTTCTCTCACATTTTTGGTACAACTGTATGTACTATAAACTCAACCATTTCTATTCCTTCCACAGGCACTTCTACCTGCCCATACCGTTTGCCGGAGCGCGATCTTTTCATGGTATACACAAGCAAAGCCATTCCAGGAATCAGCAATTTTGAGTTGTGCCGCCAGCTCTGCAGGAAAGAACAGGACTTTAACTGCCGGTCTTATAGTTACCTCGAACAAGGTGGTATCAATGATCTGTGTCTCCTGAGTTCGGAAAATAGACAGACAGGGCAAGCCAAAGCCATTCGCTACAGACTACGCTCTCTGTACGAGGAAGTGGAATGCAGAGGGCAGATACCCGGTAAGGACAGTTTTTCACTTGTGACAGATAAGGGATCAGAGGAAGACCCTACTTCTTTATCAAAATTGAAAAAATATTTAAGCTGAGTTGTCATTTTATTATAAATTCTTTCCCTCTTTGCAGAAATTAACATACATATTGATGTTGAGTAAGTCTGAGTTCGTTAGTTTACTAGATCATTCAAAATTTCATCATTTAAAAGTTATTTAAAATACATTTTTGTGTGTTTTTTATGGTTTCAATTTATTTTGTGTGGTACAAAACATAAGTTTATGCACTTAAACCAGAGTCTTAAAAGCTATCTGGAATTGCTAGGTTAGGTTAAAGGATTAGGGAAAGCGAATAAGGATTATCTAACTAGAATTGGAAACTGCAAAAGAGAACCGTCTTGTTTTCGTCATTTTTTAGTTTTATAAAATCTGAGAAAGGAAATTTGCATCACATTTAAAATACTATGGAATGATTTAGAAACCTGGGCAAGTACCTCCTCTGCCCTTGCTTATATCAGGATCTGACAACTGAAAGAGAAAGCAACCATTGCAGAGCAATTTCTTAAGAAAAAGTGAATAAAATATAAACAGAAAGTATTTCTTGTTATGTAGTAGGTCTTATTATGTAAGATTTTTTATGTATGTTTCAAAGTTTGAGAGTTCCAGAGTTTATGTTAACATTTATTAAGAAATTACGTGTAACACTTTTTATGACTGATTTCCTTCAATGTTGAGTAGAAGTTACTAGGAGTAGTGGAATCGAAAAACATCAAAACTGAACAGTGGTTCCCTTTCCAAGATTAACCGCAGATCTTCCACTTGCTTGCTAGATACGATAATCACTTACGCCAGAAGAATGCCCGGGGGATGTTATAATTCTTTGCATTTTTCCCTATTAAAAGGAAGATTAGGGAAAGCTACAAGACCCAGTAAAGCAAATCGAGATGGTGACACTTTGTCACCCACAACATTTTAGTATGGAGCCCAATGTAAAGACTGTGTAATCGGAAATGGGACATATGAAAAGTTAACCCTGTCTTTCCTGGCATTGAAACTATGGATTTTTGTTATAATTCTTTGCATTTTTCCCTATTAAAAGGACGATTATGAAATGTTAACCATGCCATTCCTGGAATTGAAACCATGGATTTTGCAGTTTGGCACCTGGAGATGCTACCATTTAACACCACGAGAGTACGTTCAGGAAAATGTGATAATTTCTCACTTTTTTTTTTCAAATTTACGCAGATACTTTTTTTTTATATCTTTTTGCATACTTTTTTTATTAGTTGTGCGTTATTGTAAATTATCGTATATTGAATTGAGTTGTTTTATTGTAAGATTTATCTGTTTTTAAATACTTTTCTGTTTTAAATTGTTTTAAAATATGACTAGAATAATTATGAATTCATATGTTTAACTTGTTTTATATGTTGGCAGAATCAATCGTGAGTAGTTAACTTTTGTACTTTTGTTAATAGCTTTGAAAGAACCTAAAATCACACTTATTGAAACGTAACTTCAGGAAAATTTATCGTTAAAATGATGATTGGTAAAATATCCTTAAATTTGGCTACATTTTAGGACGTACGAACATTTTAAAAGAAGTTTAAAAATTTCAGGATTTCCTTTACTCTTCGACAGGAAATCTTCCTGTGAGATCGTGCTCCAAGCCAGGAGAAAGACGAGAATAAGTTCAGTTTGGAGTTAAGCTTCGACCATGAATTTTTTTAATGCTTTTAAACTTCATCTCGCTGAGTTGCTCAGCTGCTGAGTTCATAGTTTTGTTATGCCATTTTTAGGATTTGATAATGAGAATTTTCTACAACAGAGCATTTTGTACTTTTACTATGAAATCTGTGATATTCTCTCTTGTTTCAAGAAAGATGTTCGCGGTACCTTTGGTATCACTGAAACCTATTTCGCTGCTTGGTTAATGTGAATTAATTACCTTCTGATTATCTACACTAAAGATGTTGTTCGTTCGGACTTGTCTCTTATTTAGTAGACTGAATAAAAATTTATTAATAGGCAATAATATGTAAAGAAATCATGAAATGAATAACACATGTTTACATACTTGGGTAATTATGTGTTTATCTTTCTGGTTTAAATTCTCATTATAAAGCAAACTTTTATCAGTTTCGTTTGGTATCAAGCCTTTGAAATCTCGAATTTATGCTCTTTTTCTTTATAAGAGCATGAGTCAAATCATGATCAATCCACCTTTATGTCTGAGAAAGTCAGCCATTATGTACCCACATATCCATTGATCAATCAAAGCAATACGATTTACTTTGACAGAATGCGCTAGTTGGAATGACATAGAAGAAAAGCGACAGGGGAAAATGTCTTGAATGACTGCTGGTTATGATAAGGCATCATTTTGCTCACTGCGTTTGCATGTAATGGGAAAGGATTATGATTTAAGCGACTTTGATAAAAAGGCCAGATTGAGACGACTGTGGATTTGAATGAATATCACCAAAATATCACGGCTCGTATTGGGTGTTCACAAACTTCCACTAATACATTCATGTAAAGTTGAAGACAAATCGGAAAGTCGGTATTAGACTCCTAGGCTTGGAATATCGACACTTGAATAGCTAATAAGTTCTTCATTGACTGTCTCTCTCGGTGAAGGCAAGTAGGCGGTAACTGGTGGCTCCACTGAATACAGTGAGAGTCAAGGTTCATATATATCTGAACATACAGCATATGAGTCTCCTAGGATATGAAACTCTGCAAGAGATGCCCTTCTAATATATAGACATCGCAATTAAACGCCTTTTCCATGTGTCTCTGTTAACAAAATATGATCTATGTTTGTGAGTACAAAGAGTCCATTAACTCTGCGATTGACGCTGCAGGACTGGAAAAGGTTTATCTGGTTGGATGAAACACGATTTCTTTTGTATCATTTCTATAGAAGTGTCAGAGTAGCCATCTACAAGGTAAAGTTTCGAATATTTGATCAACACATGTACTATAGACGTAGAAACAGCCTTGTGGAAGAAGAAATTATGCTTATGGGCATACATGGTACCGGTAATTGTTGTAGAATACATCATGGTATTTGCAGATTGATTAGTTACCTCTTTTCCTATTCTACTGTCTTCTCCACCAGAAATAGAGTCTTCAAGTAAAACAACGCTTCATATCATCGGGACGAAATTGCTATACGGTACTTTGAGTAAAATGTTGATGAATTTTAATTTTTGTCCAGACATCCTAACTTCCAAAGTATTATTCCTATTGAGTATATCTGTGCTGTCATTAAGCGCCAGCTCAGAGCAGGGCTGTCACCTTCTTGTCAGCTTTAGGAACTGGGAGGCGTTGCTTGAAAATATTATATAAGCTTTCTCCAAACACTTACCATGGATCTCTAGAACCCATGTCATGATTAAGATGCTTTCCATGCAGATGCTTTCCTGAACATGGTATTAGGATCGTGGTCATAGTGTTTTGGCTAATCAACGCTAATACAGTATTAAGAAACTGGTAGTGTGTTGACTTGAAATTTTTTTTATCAAACTTGGGTAAAGCTGACGCAACTTCAAGTAAGCTGGAATATTTTCTGTAATTTTGCATCAGAAGTAGTGTATCCATCTTCAGTCGTAGGCATGAATCGTATGCCAAGTAGAATTATTTTGACATCCCGCATTAGCAAAAGAGGATTTTTTTCATCTTTTCCTTCTGACTGACACAGCTACTTGCAACATCAGGCTGTAAAGAATATTTTAGATTTCCAAGTGAAACATGATTCATAGAAATCTGTCTTCCATACTTGTTGTAGGAGTGATAGCTGTTAAGAAAAATTACAAAATGCCTTTTGTGTTGTCCAGTCTCAGCGGTCTTAAGCGGTGATTAGCAGTAAATAACATGTTTACATGGATAACAGTATTTTTTATAATTTTTTGTGGATGATAAACATAAGTAATAAAATGTTTTACCCTTTTTAACATGCGTACTTCTTCTAGCAAGCACATCCTTACCGCCACCACCTACAGCAGGAACACCGGGAACATTCTCGCCAACGCCAACACCGCAGACACCCCCAACTCTGCGTCCACCAACGCAGCTGCCTCCCATTCCGAACCGGTGCACTTTCGAACAATTTACATACGAAAAAGTCGTCAATTACAATCTCAGGTAATATGAACCTTTTTATTACTTCCCATACAACATCCTTTAGAACGATTATAAAGTACTTTTATGTTAGATATAGAGACCACTCTCGATTAACCGAGGACGATTAAACGAATCGCGGATTCCAGGGTGCTATCTCAAAAAACGTTAATTTTGTTTGTTGTAGAATGATTAAAAAAAAAAAATTTTAAACTATAAAAAGTATGTAAAGGAAACGAAAAATGGGCTTAATAACAAAAAAAAAAAAAAAAAAAATGATGATATTAAATAGGGCTTGCTGGATGGACACCGCCAAAAACATTTTACTGACTTTTGCCCGATTTTGAACATTCTTTAATTTCCCTTGTAATTACTGTTCTTTAATGCCATTTATAACACAATTTCTTCCTTTCTAACGAAGCTCATTGTTTCTTAATTTACAAGTTTTTTTAATACTAACTTAATTTGCGTGACCGAATGTATTTATCCTTCAGATTAAACTGCCTTTAAATATAGACAAATTATTAAGAGAAATTTTATGTTAATTATAATATGGTTTATTCCTCTTTCGTTTTTTTCTTTCGTTAATTGTTCTCGAATTGATCGCGGACGTCGGCTACGATATTACCCAGGTTAATCGAAGATACATAATACTTTAGATTTCTAGTAAATATAATTTTTTAACTATAGAGGAAAACGCGATCTAATTGCAAATCTAACTGTAATATGTTATTTTCAATTTTTTCCGCTTACTTAGTAATGTTAGCTGAAAAGCAGGTGAAAAGTGAACAAAACACACCACCTGTCTATTCCTTCAGAATAGAGATTTAGTATTAGGATAAAGCTGATCGGTTAATAAAAAATTCCTATATATTTTATTTATTTTATTTTTATAGTAAAAAATATTAACTTACTCTAAGAAAGAAGAAATATAACTTATTAAATTACACGAAAATTATAAAGAAGCTAAGGTTGGATGATATACAGGGTGTTTCAAAATAGAAACGGGAAAGATTACAGCGACATAACTATATGTCTCCAATAATCGCCCAGAGGGGGAAGTGGTTAGTGACTCTGGCTTACGTACCAAAGGGCCCGGCTCGAACCCCACAGAAGGTATGGATGTAATTTGTCAATCCTTTCATAGAAGGCACCGGTGGCCGATTTCTTGGGTGTCTCCATAATGAAGAGACCACCGCTTCCAGCCTTAGTAGTGGCCAACGCCTATAAACGGCTGCTAGAGCCTGCCATTGGGAAACACAAAAACCTATTCCTCCAGCCAATTTTTGCTCTCCCCTCCAAAACATAACAGACAGCATCTACCCTAATACGATAAAAAAAAGAAAGAAAAAAAACCTGAAAGGATTCAGACTTTAACGATCACCCAAAAGGTTTTGCTAAGTTCTTTTACGCTCTCGCTGAGCTCGCAGTCTACTAATATGCTGTCGCACTCATTCCTGCTAACCCTTTTCTTTATGTTTTTTCTTTTAGCTTTATTATTAAGCATCATATTCTTCGCACTTACGCCATATCTAATTCAGCAGCAAAATTGGTCAGCTAATAAATACTAATAATTTAAAAGCAGCATATGTTTAGCATCCCGACGCAGTGTTAAGTGATTGCATACATTTCGTTTCTTTTTAATCCTTTCTTAGTTCATCATACCAATATTGTTTTCATAGGTTAAACTTACGCCCCATAAAATTCAATTCAAAAGTGATTCAGTTTAAGTTTTGTGGATAAATTCAAATCACAAAATATTAAAAAGAGCATATCTTCTTTAGAATTTCCGATATACAGTTTCGCGAGCTGGAGATAAAAATGCTTCATTCCGTACAGTGTTTGCTATTGCTCGCTTTCCAAACGCTAAGATTTTTAATAAAAAATTCCTTAAAACTTTTAAAAATATAAAATATAAAATTCGAAATTCAAAATTCGTGTTTCTAGCTGCACATGTTAGGACGAACGAATACGTTATTCAAAATCTGATCTTTCTAGGTACCGTCGTTTTTTCCCCAATGCGAATACATACATGCATATTAGCCTCATTATTTAATTTCTCTAAAAAGAACACGGGGCGAATGCCTATAGTAACACGGGCATAAATATGGCTTTTCATCGGGTGAAAGTGCATTTTGTTAATTTTGACAATATATATATTTTAGGGCCAATTTTGGAATATTACAGACTTCTTTCTCCTTTTTGTCTAAAAGACCATTAGTTGTAGCCGGCTGATTGTGGAGAAAAACAAATTTCTAACTAATTATTCTAGCGATACTCAGCCGTACAATGTTTCTGAAATATCCTTGTATATTATACTTGGAGTAACATTGACATGAAGCCATAACAAGTAATAATACGCTGACACCGATGCTACCTGGGGCTATTTAAATTGTATAATTAAGGTAAGAGAGAAAGGAGCTGATTGTTAGAAAATTTTTTCTCAGGTTCGGCAGGAAGGAACGACTAATTACTCACAGTCCCACTGGTGTCGTCACCGAATGCCAAGCTCACTGCCAAAGACTGGGAGAACGCTGCAAAGGATTTGTGATAGAATATGCAACGTATCAGCAACTGTGTTTTTGGCTGGACGCTTACTCAACTGCAGTGGACAACACAATCGTTCCTGCTCAAAACACCGCCTATTTTGAGAAGATTTGCCTCTCGGGTAAGTCTCTCTGTAATTTTAAATTTAGTTAACTATTACTACTAAACCGTATTTAATTGTCATGTGCAACAAATTTTTGTTTTCTCACTTACTTAGAATTCTAAAACTCCAGAAAAGCAAGATATAAATCTTAATTGAAAATTTATTAACATTATATCTTGTAAGTACAAGGTCACAAAACTTATCCACCGCTATTTAGAAACAAATGCTTAAATATATACAACTTAACAAATCATCATCTAAATAACCCGACTCCAGCTATCCGCGATTTCTGAAGGTGAACGTTATCAGACGCAAACAAATCCTTTACCAAAATTAAATCGAAGAGCAGAGAGACGGCTCTTGAGCAGAGAGACGGCACTGCCACAGCTTTCCGACTAAATTATACATTCGTTTACTGTTTAAGCTCCATTTAATTTGACTTCTAGTGAATTTTGGCAGAAGAAAAACAAGTGGATTAACATAAAACTAATATGTTCTCTAAAATAAAACTTACATGTTATAGTTTATTTTAAATTTTACGTGTTTCATTTCTCGGGGTTTTATACTATTTAAAAGCCTTTTGAAATTATAATAACGGCAAGATTTATGTTGTTTAATGACCCCTTTTTACCTAATTGTATTTTATTTATTTATTTTCATGTTCTTGGAGAACGTAATATGTATTTTTGTCATTACACTGACTGAGCGTATTTTTAATTTTAAAGTAAAATTATTAATAATATCAGTGAACAACTGATTGCACCTTTGAAAAATGTTCCTAAAATGTATAATTTTACTTAAGGATCCAAATAATAGCTTCCAATTTTCCCCTTATACTAGTTAGAAATTTAAGTATGATGCCTTGTCTTCTCCGCATATTCGTTTCTTTACAGTGGCAGTTTTTTGTGGTTAATATACCTACTATTTTACTTCCAGAGCCTCCTTGTGGTAAGTTGTGGAGTTTTGACAGAGTGCCCGGATATGACTTCCACGATGTGCCAGATCTCGAAGTGCCGGGTGTGCCACGACGCACGGATTGCGAAGATCTGTGCCTGACAAACGTACCTCCCTGTAAGTCGGCCACTTACGACACTTTTCGACGAGTGTGTCGGCTTTTTTCCGAAGATAGGCGATCCAAGCCAAATGCATTCGTCCGAGATTTACCGGAGATGGAATATCTCGAGAACCAGTGCTCAGCAGGTTAAGTATTTTCTTCGAATTTTATTTTTTGAATTCACGCTTTGATAAAATTTGTAAATATAATTTCTGTGATTTTAGTTAGTGTCTTCAGCATATCCATCAATATGGTAGTATTGGTTAGTCAGCATATCGAAAGAGTTTGCGAAAAATGTCTTCAAAGGACAATAAAGGTCTTCAGAAATATGAAAAATCAAGAATATATTAATAATTCATTGTTAGAAGAAAATAATGCAAAAAGTACGTAGAATATATGCTGTTTTTTAACTAATAGGTGGAAAGAATGGAATAACTATTGGTTCTTATGATTGATCGAAAAAAAAAGTTTTTCTTTTCAGCGAGATGAAAAATTTTCAAATGCTTCGTCACTAGAGATGAAAAATCTCTGTTATTTGAAAACCGCTCTTAGAAAGTTTAGTTCCTGAACTAATTTAGGGGAGCAAAGCTTGAATGCACGGCAAACAAAAGATCAAACTGTAGGACTGGCCAAGGTTGAAGAATGGCTTCTCAAGACATTTCTGAGCTTAAACGGCTCATACTCATGTTAGCGAAAATCACCCACACACCAAAGCGATTGCCAGGATTCAAACCTACATTAAATTATCACTGTTCAGCCGTCTTAATAATATCATAATTATATCTATAACTGGGTCGCTGATTATCCAGACAAAATTTAATGTAATAAAAATGTTATACAAATTTTATCTTCAAATTTCAAGATCTTACATATGTATCATTTTTGACAAACAAGATAACTCTGCAATTGCATTTAAAATATTTAAAACTTTGTGCGAATTTGAAGAATCGATCTAGCTGGATTTGGGAAACTGTTTTAACGATTTGTCTTCTTTACTCACTGAGGTGCTTTCAAAATCAAGTTTGTAATTGAGTCCATCTGTACAAGTAATTGCCAAGTTAATATTATAAATCAGTGAAGAGGTCAAAAGTTAAGTTTAACGAATGTTAAAACTTAACCCCATACCTACACCACAGACTCTCCGCACAGTTTCATAAATGAAATTTACTTTTTAGATTTCAAAGGGTTAAATTAAATAAATGTCTTTTTTATCGCAGAAATCTTTTGACTTTCAAAATAATTGTTGAAATGTAAAACAGAAAATAATGTACTATATATAACAAATTTCTGTTCTAAATTTTCTATTCACATATGAAATAAATATTTTCAAAACTTACATAATCTTATTTATGTAACTACTATGAATAATTTGACTAGTGAAGAGGTCAAAAAGTATCTAACTTTATTGCTTATCTCATTAGCTGTTCATATGAATCGGGGCAAGTTATGTTATATTATCAATTTTTACGACAAAATAGTTTTATCCACAGGGAAAAGTTAAAAATCAGTGTTTGAGTATATTGCGTCTAATACATGAAAAGTTTATTTTCGATACCCAAGATTATTTTTATTGTATTATGTCCTATATATTATTTTTATTTTTATTTGTATTTCCGTGCATGAAAAATATATTTAATAAATTCGATCGGTACCTTTAATTGTATCAAGTACCTAGACTACATTAAATTTATCCAGTACATTAACCCTATTTTTACGACCCAATCGCCAAATCCTGGTGGTGGAGAATCATCATCCACCACCTTTTTTTTAGTTCGGGCGCCACTTGTAGAGACATTAGGCATTTTTTGAAAGCATTAGAGATGAAAAATGTGCAATGCCTTCGCCGGGACTCGGACCACGGACCTCTCGAATACGCGCTGAGCGTGCTGACCACTACACCACGAAGATATGCTAAGAAGGCGAGAGAAATACCTTATAACATCAAATCTCCTACATTTTCTAATTGTGTTATATGCTATACAATTTACTGCACGAGGAGTTTTTTAATCGTATTATGTATAGCACATGAAGAATAATTGTACTTGTCATATTATATATTTGTTGATTCCATACCAAGACCACAAATCCTTGCTGCTTCTCTTTATACCCAATTTAAAAGTGTTCCCCCCCCACTCGATATTTTACCCTACACTGAACGAGAGTGATATATATTCTTTAGGGTATTGTAACGTCCCCTTTCTCCGAAGAACACTTGGTCAGTAGCGTCTCGCCCTAGCACTGAAGTTGCTTCACGCATGCGCAATGACAAGCTTAGTTGGCGTTATTGGCTGCTACCCGTTATACAGAATTGGCGATGTATCATCAGACTGGCAACCAAAGACATGTTATTCCACTAAATATTGTCACGTTGCGAAAGTTAAGCCTGAATAAGAAGTTTGAAATGTAGAAGTTAGTTATGGCAAAGAATATGTAGAAATCAGTAACACCTTAACCAAAGACAAAGAATATGTCTTTGGTTAAGGTGTTACTGGTTTCTTATATTTAGCGTCATTAGTATGGAAGGTAATTTTGTATGTTTGAAGTGTTCGAAGACGTATTCATTCCGATGAAATCTACGGGCGCTATATCTACAAATGCAGAATTGCTAAGGCATTTTGAAAACGTTCATGATAAATGTCTTATAACTGAAGATTTGCAGTTTCCTTCTTTTCAAGAATTTACTGTATGGAAAAAGGGCATTGAAACCGAGACAAAATGCAGTTTTATAGTCGAATGTGGTGCCCAAAAAAGAAATTCAGATACTCACTACTTTTTTGTGTGTCATCGTTAAACACCAGAAGGCAGTGGTATTAGACATTTAAAACTATAGGGTAAAAAAAAAATGGATTTTGTCTAGCAAGTATTACAGTTATTCAAACTGATGGAAAATGCTACGTTCAGTACTTAAAGACTCATGTTGACATATGTTTCTTTTAAAGGAAACTACAATGTATTTAGCTTCCAAGATTGCTGCTGGTATTCCTTTTGAAAGGATTTTAGGCGAAATTTGAGATTCTATTGCAGGAGATCAAACACGTATGCATCTAATTACTCGCCATGATTTACATAATACTAAATTTCAATTTCATCTGTCGCCCACCAGTGGCCGAGCGGTAAAGTCGCTGAACACTGGTAGTTCGGTTCGAATCCTGCGAATGGGCTGACTGCATGGGCCTTTTCGTGGTTTTCCCCATGTGTAACGTGTATACAAACCCGCTTCCCTTAGAAATTCCTCCACGAAGGCATCCCTCCCCTTAGGCAGATAGCCCTATTGTGCTTTGCTATTATTAAATAAAACCAAACCAAACCAATTCAATCTGTCATCTGTAAGACACATAGATGATGCAGTAAGTGTGGAGTCGTGGGTTCGAAATGGCATTACATGTTAGAAAAATTGGTTAAGGACTGCGTTTGTGTTGATGGAACCCATGGTTTATATAACAATGGGTTCAAACTTATCACACTGTTGGTCCTCGATAACCTTCGTCAGGGGTTACCATGTGTTTTCTGCATATGTAGCAGAAACGATCAAACAGTAATGGCACTGTTTTCTTTTGCATATTCAAAAAGCATGTGGAAACATTCAGCTTGACATATTTACATCAGACATTGCCAATAATTTTCTTAACGGGTGGTGCCAAACCATGCCAGGTCCAAATAAATGGGTTTTCTATAGCTGGCATGTGGATAGAGCATGACGAATACAATTAAAAAGAAAGTAACTAGTAAAGAAAAACAACTGGAGGTTTATAAAATACTGCGAACTTTATTCGAAGAGTGGGATATTTCGGCATTTGAAAATATGTTACAAACAGCAACCAAAACATTACTAAATGACTCTGATACAGATGCCTTTGGGCAGTATTTCATGAGTCATTATGCAAAAATTGCCACAGCATGGGCATATTACACTGTGGCATCAACATAAACATGCATCTAGAAAGGATGCACAAGACTATAAAGTATCTCTACCTTAATGGAAAAATAGTTAAACAACTCAACAAGTCTATAACAATACCAATGAATTTTATCAAAGATAAATTGATCGATAGACTAATTATTCTGAACAAGGGTAAACTGTGCAGCAAGTTACAAAATCTACGCAAACAACACAAGGTAATCCTAACTGAATTGTATTCAGTTATTCAGATTAGATTAAATTATTCAATTATGGCAAAGCACACGAGAGCAAAAAGTTAATGATTGTACTTGCCAACTTACTTGTACTGAATCCAATGCATGTATTCACAAATATACTTGTACATGCGTGAATGCAAGTATAAAATGGAATATGTGCAAGCATATCCATTCTGTATGTCAGTACAGGAAAAAATTAAAAAAATGTCATGACCATAATGACTCAGTAGGTAATTTTATGTATTGATAATGATGATGACAAACTTACCGAGTAGGATATAATTTCATCAGAATTAGGAAAAAATGCACCTAGCACTTCCAAACCTCTGATGGAAAAATTTCAGAATATGAATGTAAACATTTTATCTATGACATGTTCGATAAAAACTTATGCTGAGTATCGCACAATAAAAAGATTGTTTGATACAATACAACCGACACTGGATGCAGTCCCTGCCCAGAATGACAGCTTTTCTGAACTTGAAACTGCTGGTTCTTCTAACAAAAACATTATACCGCAAGGTGTGACAAAGAAGAAAAAAAAAAACTGATGTGACCCAGAGGCATTTATTTTCTATAAAACAGGGAGAAAGGGAAAAAAAATGCACAAACTTGTGTAAACCCACAAAGAAAGAATTACAAATCACTGCCTTACAGTTACTAAATGTTTGGAGAGTTCAAATCATAACACAGATACAAGGCCAGTATCACAGCAACACAATCTAGAAGACTAAACTCTTGATACTAGGCTAGTAATATATTATTTATGCTTACAGGTAATTTTTGAATACCCAGTAGCTTCCATTACAGATTTATGGCCAAAAATTCCTTGCATTAATATGTAATTCCAATTTTTGTAATAACTCATAATAAATGTTACAAAAGAAATAAAAGTCTATATCAAGACATTTCATCACTGTAAATTACTAATTCTTAATACTTTGACTGCTGTGTGCATGGTCTGGCCATGGCACCAAGATGATTTTTTTATTATGCAATGTATATTGTGTTGAAATATTACCTACAGAAGATGTTGTATAATCATGTTTAATGCATTTTTTATGGTGGGTATCACCGGTGATCCCCGAGGTGTTGTAGACCATTACTGCAATTTATTATTCTTGAAATCATTACAGTAACTATGGTATTATTTAAAAATTTATCAGTATCAATATTTACTCTGATTATATATTTTTACTATTGTTTGCATCACTGGTGGTCGCTGTAACCAAGGCGCTGTAATCAAGTTGAATGCCGGATACTGGTTACCCCCACGGCCATCAATCCGGTTCTTTAAATACAATATAATTATTTTAATTTTATTATAATAATTATTTTTGTTGATAAAGGTCATAAATGTTAAAAAGAAATTTTAAAAAAATAAGAATAAACACTGGATTTGCTGAGAAGCTTACTGCAGGGAAATTTTAGATGAATTCTGAAGGTACTATATTGCAAAGGATAAAATCATATCTACATTCCTGACATAACTAAGTTGAATTTCTAAATGTTCTAATTAATTATATTAAGCTCTCAAGAATTATTTGCCAAGATCTTTAATGATACATGTAAATATGAAACAAAAATTTTAAATGAGGTTAAATTAATTGATTATGTCAAAGTACTGAAGAGTTATTTGCTTAGGATGAAACATGTCTTTAAGGAAAGCATGAATTTAAAAAAAAAAATTATGATAACGGTAAATATAAAGATGAAATATCAAACAAAAATACATTTGGAATTAAATGTAAAATACGGTTAACTGATTATTGCATGTTACGAAAACCTACAACATTCATTTAAGCAACTCAAAAACATCAACACGAGCGAAAAAAAGATAACGTCTATTTCTCTATACGCTTTTCAAGTCCCCAGTAAATAAATTCTCATATATTTGAGCACAAAGCTCACCCCATATGCTTAAGCACCTAGTAAATAATTGCTCGCATAATTGGGCGCAAAGTGACCTAATTTCACACATTCCGCAACGCTTCACTTACGAAACGCAGAAATCTAAATTCATCGCCAAGCCAAACATACATAGATGTTCTTCGGCCAAGCGACGAAAGTTACCATGCTGAAAATATGCCTATTGCGCATGCGTGAAGCAACTTCAATGCTAGGGCAAGACGCTACTCACTTGGTAACCCACTCTCAAAGAAGGGTGTGGTGGTGTTTCGGTGGTGTATTTAATTATGGCAAAGCTCACTAGGGCTATCTGCCTAAGGGGAGGGATGCCTTCGTGGAGGACTTTCTAAACTTCGTAGAGGGAAACTGGCTCGTATACACGTTACACATGGGGAAAACCACGAAAACACCCATGCAGCCAGCCCGTTCGCGGGATTCGAACCTCGGACCGAACTACCAGTGTTCAGCGACTTTACCGCTCGGCCGCTGGTGGGCCCTCAAAGAAGGGACTGAGAATCCTCTTCTCGCCTTCGCCGGAAGAGGGGAGCGGACTTTTTCCCGGTGGGAGTAAGAGGAGTTTTGAGATGTGGAAGAGAAAAGAGCGGACGCTAATTTGCGCGCTCTACTGTAGTCAAAACGTATTTTAAAGTTTTTCTAAAATGTAATCTGTGCATAGTTGTATATATAAGTAAATATTTAGCCTAGAACAGGTCTTGTTTATTTGACGAAGTTACGACTATGTTACAGTATACTTTTGAGAATAACTGTGAAGAGATCATAGCTTATGTATTTCAGAAACAAGCTCATGCCAAACTTTTAATCATGTTTCTCTTAGAAATAATAATTTTGTAAATTCATGGGTTTGGTATTATGCCAACGACAGTTGGAAAACAATTTTAATTGAATTATTCTGACGTACAAACTGTACCACAACACGTGCTTGATGAATGTTAATGACTGTATTTAAATTATATTTTGAATTGTACTTCTTGCTGCTCATAAAACACAATATTTTAACTGCATTATACGTAATATATGTTAATGTATTTAAGTGCACAAAGAGAAATATTATGATCCTAGATAGAGATATTGCGGCACATATGTGTAGGATGTCCCATAGGCCACAAACGATTAGGCATTCTTAATCGTGCTCTGTTTTATAAGAAATGAGTTCTTGGGAAAACTGCACAATAAAATATTTCTACAGCATGATTTCGTCCTAATATAATTAAAGATTGTACGTAACTCTACATTAAAGTTGAACTTTAATTATCATTACAGCAAAGCATTTGAAGTTAGGATTTACATTATTTAACTAAAGAAAAGCCAGCGAGGCTTATGTAAATTCCATTACAACTTCGATCGAGAGCAGACCAGAAAATGGAAGCGAAAATTTTAGTACCCTTCTTCCTCTATTATCAATTTCTTGAGATTATTTTCAGACGGACAGAATTTTAAAAGCTTTCTTTCTGAAAATAACTACATTTATAAAGGTTCATGCTTCGCTCAGGATTAGAATCTGGATATTATAAACACCCAAAATCAGAACTTTCGGAGACAGTAAGTTGCATTTCTGGTTATATAAAAAGCGCAGTGTAGCTAGTCTTTGCAATTCGTGAAATCGGGAAAAAGCACAGATTTCATGATGTCCAGATCATTTTGCGAAAACTGATATTGGGCAGAGTTTCAAAGATATAGTAACACAGAAATAGTTACCTTACTGTTATCTGAAATTTAAAAAAAATGAAAAAAAAAAAAAACTATTATTATTAATTATTAAATATATGCTCATCATAAATTTTTTTTTTTTTTTTTTTCATTTTCTTTTTACCACAGAGCCGGCTACTTGTGAATATCGTACCATTCCCGACAGGTTTTTCCCTTACATCGACAGACTTTCGAGGGCCTATAGCTTGGCCGACTGCCAGCGTCAGTGTGATCTTGAACAAAAGTTTGTCTGCCGCTCACTCAACTTCGAGACGGTGGTCCGAGACTGCGCCCTCAGCAGCGATGATCTGATCAGTATCCAACCTGGTTCAGATGGACTACATCCTAGGCCCAATTCCATCTACAGCGAGAAGGGGAGCTGTGAACAAGGTAAGAATAGAGTAGTAGGATTGCAATCCTTTTTACGTTCATGTTCGTTAAACACAAAAGCTATACGATAGAAAGATAAATATTACTCCTATAGAGGATAGAGAAATTCAGTACCCAAACGGGAACTAAAGTTTTGCCCTTAGTTTCACAGTGACAGACAGCAGATCTTTGTTTTGGTGTACGTACCCATCAAAATGATAACTATATTGAAAATCTTTTGGAAAGATAGGATTATTTCGAATGTTTTATTAGATTAGTAACGCCGCGGGATAGTACTTTCAATGCCATATGGTAAAGGTCTGGTGTCCGTTATGCTTGTTCCTGTTCTGAACCTTGTTTTCTACTAATACTTTTAAGTTTTGATACTCAGTCGCTATCTGGGAATATCACCATTCAGAATCCCATCAGTAATCGTCAGAAATATCCCTATCAGTGCTGCAATTAATTGTTCCTAATATTTAGGGCATAATCCATGTACTATTGCACTCATACCCACCCATTAATACTATACCATGTGATAACACCACCTATTAGTAATTCAACGTTAATGCATGTCATAGCCAACATAACAGTGAGTATCGATCTCAATAGTGACATGACAGTGAGTATCGGTGTAGCCATTTTTATAAAACGTTTCCAGTTTCCCACTGAATGCCTAATGCATAGAAAGATTGTATTCAATTTATTTAGATTTATAAGCTGCCCTATGATATTATTTTCATTTATATATGGAAATTTTTTTGTTATTATTCATTTTGTTCTATTTAAAGATTTTAGAGCCTTTTATTAAAATCACATAACTTAAAAAGTTTTATGCATATATATATTAATGTAATTCTTTGTACATTTATGAATATGTCATTGAAAAACGATGTATGAGTTTTCTTGGATAATAACAACAATGCCAAATCATTACTCAAAATTCTTTTCTCCCAAAAAAGCTGTATTGTCTTCCAGCTGATAGATCACAAAACAATGAGTTACTTTTTTACTAATTTAAAAGATAAAACAATCATCTTACAGAATGTCGAATGGTATAATACTCTGAAAACTAACTCATATTGAAATTGCGTGCGAAATTAATTACGCTTCCTACAATGAAAATTTTTGTTAAATTGCTTTAATGGTGAATGTCATAACAGCGTAACATAATGCAATGGCCCCCAAAAGTTTGCAATACTCCGTTAAACGTATTTTCAACCTCAAAAAGTAATTGTTACAACATCAATATTAAATAATTAGGCAGGACTAATGTGTAACTCAACCAGTATTTAAGTGCTTTTCTTTGTCACGCACCAGCATGCATGCATTTTGTTTATTCGGGTACTATTTAATGCAAGTATAGTGTCAAAAATTTAACTCAAGATACGGTAGTGTAAACTGTCTATAGGCAATACCAGGCTAATGTTTCACATTCTTTTCATATCTGCAGTGAGTGTCCAGTGCAATCAGCAGGATATGCTTCTGACAGTCAACTTCGGAACTCCCTTCCATGGTAGGGTGTACGCAAAAGGTAATCCCACCCAGTGCTACATGGTGGGAACTGGCCAGACTACTTTATTGTTTGCAATATCCCTCGGCTCCAGGTGTGGTACTCTCGTTGAGGTAAGACAATTTTTTTCCTGTTTGTATGATAATAGTCTGTAAGTGTAATATAATTATTCGAATGGCTTTTAATATTTATTTGAAGGAATGTATACAAACAAAGGACATAGTAATTACAAATTTTATTTTGTTAAATATTGCTCCACAACATATATTTTCCTATATTACCGGAACATAGTTTTGTGAAATAAGATGAAGAATTTGATGAAAAGCTGTTTAAACACTATGTTTAAAAGGCTTCTGTAAGAGCAAAATATAACATTTTATACCTCTTCGGAGAGGTAAACTTCTAGTTAGTACAATAGTGTTACATCCTGCGTTCTGGATCTCCTTAAAGAAGAAAACTTGAACCTTATGTGCAGGTTGAAATTAAATAACAACTAACTTTTTTTGTACAGGTAAGGAAAAAAGAAAGGCCAAAAAAAAAAAAAAAAAAAAAAAAAGAATTAGCAAAACTTAAGAAAAAGAGAAAGATAATGTTTAGATTTAGTAGAGGAACGAGTACTTCAGATTATGAAATATCTGATATAGCAGTATTTGAATATTAATTTCAGTAACTCCTGAGTCTGCATGTCAATTAATTCTTGGTTTCTGAAACTTAATGCTTATAGAATTTCCGAAGAGAGGACAGCATTACCAGAAATTTTCCTACATTTTTTACTACCGACATAGAGGCAACCTATCATATATGGGGCAGAATAAGCATATCGGTCAGGCAGGCCTGCTCATTAACTCCGCTTCAAAATTGCCTGGATGGCAAGTTTCTAAGTTTGTCTTTGGTAAAAATCAACTAAACTGATGTGTTTTAGTTCTTTTAAAATGTCAGGATACATTAGAAAATATTCTTATTGTTGGGTAAATGAGTGACTCAAGAATGAATGAAGAGTGCAATGCGGGTAAGGAAAGCATTTACAATTGTTTCCAATCCAATAATTTCCAATTATTTTTACCGCTCTTTTTCCATGACAGACTCTGTGTTCATTTTAAATGTCAGGGATCAACATGGCTAAACGTATATGGCTAAACGTATATGGCTAAACGTATATGTATCAACATGGCTAAACGTATATGGCTAAACGTATATGTGGAACTTTCCATAAAATATGGTCTTACATTCTTGATAGCGTATTTCCTAGAAATTCCCAAAATATGCCAAAATGGCTTGAAGTCACTAGATGTCACCAAATTTTGTTAAGGGTTAGTTGTTTACACTTATTTTTACTCTAAGCCTATCTTCATAATTCTAACATCTATTTACTGAGAATTGTAAATATTAAAAACAAAAATTACAAATGTAATTTTTGTCTACGTTTGTAATACGTAAAATAATTAAATACATACAAATGCAGTAAGTTACCATACATTAGAAATTACACTAAATTCACAATAAATAAATTTCAAATTATCGTAAAAGTATACAAATAGTAAATAAATAAAAATGCGCAGTAAGTGCATAATAAACAAAAAAAGCGTATGAGAGAAAATAAAAATAAAAAGACATGAATATGTGCAGAAATTACAGCAATATTCATTAAATATAATTGGTTAAAAAATTCCTTGCATTTAAGCTTTAGAGACAAGTCTTTGTTTATAACAAAGCCAAGCTCCGCATCTTTTTGTGCAGAAAGTATTCGAGAACATATAATAATGATTTTAGATAATTTTTCATGCTAATATAGTTCGAGGCTTTCGAGAATAAATTTACACAGAATCTAAAATATACAAAAAACTGAGCATTTTCGAATTTCGTTCTTTCGTTTTGTGTGTGTTTTGTGTTTCGTGATTGAATTTGTAAATATTGCCACTTGAAAAGAGTTACCAAGAATATCTCTGCTATTTTGTACTTAAAAGGCATGGAGCTTTTTATTTCGAGTTTACTAAAACGCAAAGAATATTTAATAAACAGTGTGACGATATTTTAATTATGTGTCATTATCATGGCGTTGCCAGCTTCTAAGAGATTCGTAAATATGTGAAGATCTGTGTTTAATTTCTGATCTGAATAAAATGAATTTCAGGAGATTCTTTGATATCAAACGTTGTTAAAAAATGGCTTTTCAACTAGATGGAAAGCGTATGAAGGGTTTAAGCTCATTCCTAAATTGTGCCGGAACGAATTTTATAAACTCCTTATCATATTTTGAAAACAAATCGTATAAATATATGGGACTAGTATCTAAAAACATAAAGCCCATATCCATCATTTTTTTCGAGCATTCAGGATATATTATAAAAAAAAATAATTGTTCTCCACTTAAAACACGTAATTTTTTAAATCCTAATAACATTCTCTGAGAATAGATTTAAAAATCAAAGCACCTGGAGATATAGGTAGACTTCTGGTACTGTATATTTTAATCATCTTCTGGCTCCAGATTGTGTTTTAACGAACCAATTGTTTTCTTGTTTTATTAGGGTTCTGGTCGTTATGCCAATGAGGTTGTTATCCAGCAGCATCCAGTCATCGTCACCAATATAGACAAGACAATCAAAGTAGTTTGCTCTTTCGAGACTCTGGATAGAACTGTGACGCTGGGAGGCTTGTTTCCGGGCGCATCCCCAGGACTGGATGTCACGTGAGCTTTCCAACAATTTATTTCTTCTTAATAATCACTCCGGTGTTTTTAATTTCAATTTAAACTAGAATGCATACATGTTTATCCGAAATAATTGACGCAAAACAATTTCGGATAATAAATGTTGGAGCTTATTGTCATCAAAATTAGACTCTGCTAATTTTTCTCACGGATGACTTTTGGTCAATAATGTTATTTTTGAATGCTTTGATCTCCATTTTAAACTTCACAAGCGTCTCAAACACGAATAAAAGAAATCCGAGACTTTTTTTAAAGTTAACACTATTATCTACACAAAAGTAAAACTTACATCAGAATGTTATTCATTAAGACTTCTACTTTAACATGAACAGTTAAATTAACGCGTAAACTCCATTATGCCCTATTTGACCAATTTTTAAAACAGCTTTTCTTATGCACGTTAGTACTGTTTAATTAGAATTTGATTTTAATAATGGAAGGTAAATTCTCTTGAACTGAGTCAAATGTTTAGATACCATCTTACATTGCTGTACTTGCTTTTAATAATGCCATCAATATCTTTCGCTACCTCAAACTTGGTACGTTGAAGAACATTATTCGATTTAGACATAAAAAAATTAAAAAATTCTGGTTGTTCAAATAGCTTTTGTATTATAGCTTGTATCTAACAAAACATCTTTATTTTTATAACAATTTTCATTCAAAGATATTAAGCCTTTTCCAGTATAGTGACTCAAACGTATTATTCAAAGTTCCCTGAAAAAGGCCTGAATTAGAAACATTTTCCTCTTCGTCTATGGCGTGATGTACGATTACTTACTTACCTTGGAAAATTTTCCTTAGTATTTACCATGAATTGCAAAAGGACATAAATTAAAATCAAACATGTAATATGATTCGTTATTTATGACGAGTTTCCGCGCACTTTCGTATAGAACCGCTTGCTTATGAATTTTAATAATAATAACAATAATTGAATGCTTTTTTTTTTTTTTTTTTTTTCAGAACTCGGTTTCTACCGCCCGTCACGGCCATCGTAACGAACACTGCCCCGCCCCCAAACGTGGTTATGCGCGTCTTGGATAGGACAGGACGCGATGCTGGAGTTGTGGGATTAGGAGATGAACTTATGCTTCGTATAGAACTAAGAGACCAAGCGAGTAAGTATCCCCGCAAAAGCACGTTAAAATTTTGATCTTCAATAAATTATAAAAAAATATTATTAATTACATTTTTAAACTTACAAAATAGATAAATGATTCTGTAACCAAGAGCGTAAAACAGTGCCTCAGGAACATCTTTCATTAATTAAAATAATGCTAGAAATTTTCATGTAAACCATTGATTGGATATCTTTATAAACGAAATATGTTATAAATTAGATCAGAGAAGTTTTTAGGAAATAAAATAAGGATTTGAATTTAATAAATGGTCTGTTTATTGCTCTTAAATCTCCTAGCTTGTTAAATAGTCATATTTCCAAAGACAGATTAAAGATCTTAAATAATAGAACTCTGAGAAAGTAACAATAAAAAAGGCTAAGGGGAAGGTAAATTTTTTCTTTTGATTCGAGCAATGGCAATATTTGCCCATCAGAGCAAATAAATGCGTGGTAATATAACTTAATATAACGAACATAATGATATTATTATTTTGGGAAGACGCTATTAAAGACGTGTCTAATGTCAAAAACAAAGTAGGGTTTATTTTGAGAAATACAAACTAATTTTAAACTCTAAAAATTAGCACAGATGAAAAAAAATCTATGATTAGATGGAAAGAACTGCTGACTGCAAGTTGCGTTGGAACTAATTCAACATTGTCAAAACGCTGTTATGAACGATAAACTCGCAGATCTAGTATTTCACATGCAGGTTCTAATGTTATATTGAAAGAAGAAAGGTGAAGCTCGGAATCAGTATACACTTGTTAACTTGCACATCAATGTATATCATCTGAAGAAGGAATTCCGAGATTCAGCGATGGCTGCTATAGCTTTGGTCTGGCTTCGAATTCCGGGAAATACATGCATGTTTTGTAGTTCTGTATATCGGCACGCCTCGGAGACGTAATATCTGTCGACCGCCTGCGCAGCGTCGACATCGGTGATCTCTTCAATGCTCTCGACGACGGAATGATTAATTGATCCATGAATTCGGTCATTTCTGAGAGCTACGTAGCGAACAAACGTCTGGTCTTTGGGGATGGGGGACACATATGAAAACTACTGAATCTTATAGCTCAAAATGTTGCTGGACATATGGTACGTTACATGGTAATTATAGTATGAATTATGATATATTATAGAGACTTTTTCATAATAAATTAGTTCTACCAAAACCTAAAATATAATCTTAATTATTAAATTCATTGAGAAAATGAGTAAGCTGTTCTCTTGGTGCTCTTGGCATTGGTCTTTGAATCTTCCACTAACTATCAAACAGTTTTTAGTAAATTTTCCCTTTTAATAAATTTTGCGCTTAAAAATTTCCTATTCCCCTGATACTTGAAACTTGAAAAATTTTTAGCAGAATATTTTTTAACGCATGTTCAATACTTCAGTTCTGCCATATCCATATTACCAACTGGAATAAATGAGTGCTTTAATTAAATCCCGTTTTCTCTTAAACCTTTTCTTTGACAATTATATTATATTTGTTTTTAAATTTTCATTACAGGCAATCTCGCTATTTTCGCTAGAAATCTGTATGCAAGAAGTAAAAACGGAGAATCCCTTTTTTTAATTGATAGCACAGGGTAAGATGATCTTTCCTTAAATTTTAGATGAAAAGGATGGTTATGTGTATTAGTTTAGTTGTACTTTAATAACATTTAGTGATCTTTCTATCGAGCAACGTTATATTTTATAGTGATATTATTTAAGGAATATTTTAATTATCCCAAAGAGAAAAACTGATATGCAATCTCTAGTGTCATGGACTTTTACAGATATAGTAAAACTCCAAATATCCGGATTAAATGAAGTCTCATTTTCATCCGGAATATGAACACATGTATTTACTTTGATGCGAATGTGATAATTAAATGTATTCACGTTTCGTGTTTTATTTCAGAAGGAGGTTTTTTTTAAGTAGTTAAAAGAATTCTATTCTTTTATACAAAAACATTTTTTTTTTCGACAAAGCAAAAAACGTGGAAACATTTCTAGTTTAGTTAATCTTGCAACTAGTTTTTATTTCAATTTATGAAAGCAGTCAAACTAATATTTCTTTCGAGGGTCTAAAACTAAATTATATAATTTTTTTCGCCGTTAATATTTATTAAAAAGTTATTATTTATAGGGCTTTATTCAGCCGGATGCCAGATACGGCACTTCTCAGTTTTTGTGCGATATCATAATTCAAGCTGGGAACCTCAAATAAGATGAGTTTCAGTATTTTAATTTATAAGTTAACTTTTTGTTACTAATTTAACTTACTTTATTAATTGTTTTTTCCTATAAACATTATTTAATTTTTTAATTATTAATTATTTTCTAATAAATAATGAATAATGAAACATTTTATTTTTACTTACATTTTCTAACTGATTTCCTTAGGGCTCCGGCACTTCTATTTATAGAAATTAAGTTCTGGTTGTTTAATGAGTACTGTAGACATTTCTTAGATGCTGTATATGTTCGTATAATTTCTTACTTTATTCTGGAACGTCCAATTTTGAATGCTATTATTCTTTGAAAGATAATTTATTAATTATTTTGGGCCGTTAAGATTAAAAACTATCCAATCAGCTCTCATTTTCAATTTCAACTTTGCGAACGCTCACTCTTTCGTTACCTTTTGCTTATACGAAATGGGCTGTATAAAAGAGTTCTGAGGGCTATATGTGGTCTTCAGGAAACGGGATCTACTAGCCTGGCTTAAGAAAAACCAGTGCTTTAGGTTATTGACGATAAGCTTTAATTGATCTTCCTGATTCCGTGATACTCGTTTTTTCAATTGTCAAAAGCTTTCTTGTTCCCGCAAAATCATCAGTCTTCATTACATCCCTTTTTACAGGGGGTGTATAAGAAGGCCGATAGGCTTCAGCCACTCCCGGACAGTACAGGGAATCTTTCATGCGTGAAAGTTGTGTTTTTCGACGCTGTTACTTGGTGCTCGCCACGTGTTTTTACTGAGATGTCCCTGTTTCGTATTTGCCACGTGCTTTATCTAATTCATAATGACTACCGCTCAGTTAATTGATTAGTCGAACACAATTCTGCATAATTATGGTTACAAAGAGGTCGATGAAGATAGTATGAAGCATTTTCGTAATCTTAAAATTGTTGAAGATTTCACTACAGAAGTTGAATGAGAGGAAACCTATTAAAACGGAATTACGTAAAGCGGGGAAAAAATTCGACTTGCGGATGCAAATGGTATGAAATTTTATCAATTTTATGGTTATAAATTCCTTAATCAGTTTAAGAAAACTGATCATGTAATTGTTCAAGTCGACACTAGCAGCCAGCGTTATTTATTAGCCACTACGAGTAATAAGGACCCGAAAGCTTATACGCCACAGTCGAATGAAGACGAATGAATTACATCATCGAAAACCACTAAGCCGTCGTATGTTCAGACCATTCTAGCTTTAATTAAGAAAGTGCCGGCCCCCGACGACACCCTCCCCGAAAGAAGTTCCCGCAGCTCCAAAATAATTTCGAAGTTCTGAATGCTGATCCTCTTCTGAGGAAATTATGGACTGTGATGAGAGACTTCGGCTAAAAAAGAGAATCGCATGGATGTAATTCTTAACTCTGTGACTGATCAAAAGAAGAAAGAGTGCCTCCGATCATCTGCTCCAAACCGAAATTAACCTGGGAAGAAATCAGAGGCTTGTTCTCCAAACATGGTGTTGAAGGTTACACCTGTGCTTTAACTAAGGACAAGATCATCATCATCTTTGCTGCTGGCCGTGAACTTGCACTTGCAGTTTAATTAAAAGAGGAAGTTTAATTCAGCACATTTAGATTGAAAGGGGAGTCTCCGATCAAGATTGTTATCTGATATAATATTATTCCTAATGACACTAACGGGATCAAGATTGTACCTGATGATACTTAATTTTGAAGACATTAAAAAAGAATCCCGTGATGATGGATAACCCCGTTATCAAAGTCATGCCGTTTATCCAGAATGCAGAAGGAACACAAAAGAAGCTACCAGTATTTTTCGCGACTCTGACGACGAATGATAGTGGGAAAAACATCTACAAAAACAGAATTGTTCTTGATCTGCAAGTTAATATCTGAAGATTTAAGTCTAGTCAAAATACTATGATGTGCTTTTGCTGTCAAAGGTTTGGGCACGGTATTCTTCATGGTGTTTCAAGTGTAGTAAAAATTACTTGACCTATACCCGTGGTTTACCGAAAGACGATAAACCGATCTGCATTAGATGCAATCAAAATTAGGTGGCTTCCTTCAAGAGTCGTGAGTTTTACTAAAAATTCGCAAAGGAATCATTGACTTAAAGCCAACCGTAAGTTGCGTAAGAAATCAGGAAAAGATGTCTCCTTCCTTTTCTCGTTATTAAACCTAAAACGGAATCAGGAAAATGTTTTACAGTTTCTTTAAACACGGGTTTCAAATATTCATTACAGGTCCCTTTAAAATGATCAGGTAATTCTCTTAAAAATTTTACTAAATCATATCTATACTTCTAGACATAAATTTAAATGAATCTATCTTAATTTTAAATATTTTTCAAATTTTCTAGTAAAAGATATATATTTTTCTTCAGTACTAGGAATAACGCTTAATTTATAATCATCTTTCAAGTTCATCTTTCACAGGTTCTTTGATATAAGAAATGCGCATCATTATCAAATAAACTATGCATAATGACAAGTAAAAAGTTTGGAATTTATAGTTCAAATTACATCCTTCGTGCACTGGTCCTCGGTTTATCCTCCAGTTAAATGACGATTATCAACTACTTTTTTATCGTTTAGAAAAAATAATTTTCACATATGTAACATTTATTACTTGTTTTATAATTCATCAACACCTATCATAAATTTAGTATCTTTATATTTTTTTATTTTTCTCTTAATACATTTCTTAATTTCAATGGCGTCTTTTTTTTTTAATAATTCACAAATTTTTTCATTGCATTATTTGCATTATAATAAACTGGAGATTTAAAATACTCATTATTATATTTAATGCAATAACTGAATTCACCTGCATTATGTTTTTGATATGGAAGTATATAAGAACTCTTATTTAATTTTAACCCTGTTATATTAATTTTTTCACCACTAAGATTAAATTTTTCTTTTAGAATTGATTTATACAATCCATTACTATTTCTTCTTCTATTTAATTATAAATTCTTATTAATTCTTATTAGTAAGTTAATCTAGGATTTGGCTGACAAGTGCTTTTCTTAATAAGCATTCAAAATTTACATAAATAACAAATCGAAATCTCCCTTAGCGATTATAATTAGTAAATTTTAAAAAGTCATCTTTTCTAGGCATTTTAATTTTATAGGGATTTTGACAATCTTTTTCATCAATTAATTTTATTTTTTTACTTGAATGTAAATTTAATAAACATCTATTACACCAATATACTCAATGCCATCCCATTTTATTTTTTAATAATCTGGAAATGCTTTTAATTCAGCAATAATTGATAGTTTATATATGATAAGTTTACATGTTTTTTAATTTATTTTTTCTGTATACTAACGCAATTTTTTTTCCATAACCATATACATTAATATATATATTTAAAAAAACGTCCCGTCGTAATGACTAATCATGACATCTGTTGAGAAGGTCGGGGCTTATAGTGTTGTTTGGGGCTTATAGCTCCAAATTCCCAGGAAACAGGAATTATTTTGGAAATTGCGGAAATAGGGCTTATTCAAGAAACAGGATAATTTGTCGTCAAGCTAGTGATATTTGATCATTCTACACCAGTTTAGGGATATTTTAGAAGTTTTTATGAAATTGCACTTCTGGAAACGATTTTCTAAGAAAATTCTGTTAGTGCCATAATCTCTTGGCTATAACATAAACAGGAAATCGCCGGAAGCTAAGAACGTTTTCTTTGTTGAACAGAATACGTTATATGTTGTTTGAATTTATTTGAATAATAACTCAGGAGGACTGTTTACCTAAGGATAGATATGTTTTAGTAAATGTCTTCCCAAAGGAAATGGGCTAGTTTTAACTTTTTAACGGAGAAAATCACGAAATGTACAGGCAGCACTTTGGGCGAGATTTAAACCTAGGTCAAACTACCAGTATTCAGCGATCTTAACCACTCAGCCACTTGTGGGTTGAAAGCAGTTTATTTAAAGAGAAGATACTGAGCCTGCATGCTATTTTCCAGTTTGCGATGTTCATCTTGTGTTAAGATGTTAAAGAGAATTTAAGAACTCGAGCGCTTTCATTAGTAAAAGTAAATAACGCTTGGAGCTGCAATACAGGCTCGAATTTCTTTCTTCATCTGAACTCTTTATTTAAGAGATTTTGACGAACTCGTAACATTGTGTAATTATATTCAACAATCGAATAACAGGTATATAAATCGTGAGGTTCTGCATAGACGGGCTTTAAAAATAAATTCGTTGGAAAAGGCTTTTGAGATTTGATGTGTAAAAACTCGTTGATGAGCCACCAACGCTTAATCAGGAAAAAATCAGGAGAAATCTAGGTATAAAATAAGGTGGATGTTAGCGCATCATTTACTATCACAAAATAATCATAGACCTGTAAATAATATATTCAGCTCGTATTTCCAGTTCCATAAAAATTTTCATTCCTCTACAAAGTTACCGATAAAGCATTTTGCAAGCACTATATTGATGCTACCAAAGTTATTTTGGAGAAGTCAAAAACTGTACATAAATTTCCGATCGCGCTTCTTACTCCATTACTGTTCAAGGATGGATTGAATTCTCTTTGGCAGTTAGCAGCATTGATCCTTTTTTAAATTAACATATATTCGTCTCTTTTCAGATGTCCCACTGATCCGAGTATTTTTCCAACTTTGAGTTTAGACGCGAGGGACAGGAAATCTCTTTTTGCCAATTTCAAGGCATTTCGTTTCCCTTCGACTGGACTCGTCAACTTTGAAGTGCAAATACGATTCTGTCAAGATCAGTGTAAAACGGTAAGTCATTTACTACCCACACTGGCACTTCTTCATTTCAGAAAGAAAATAGGATTTTCATTTTCAGGCACACCGGAGTCATAATTTAGTTGAATTTCAGAACGTCTTTTCTTTAAAATCAGATGTGAGGATAATTTCGTAGAAACATTTTTGATGACCAATTATTACATCACCCTCTTGAAAAGTTCGAGTATTCTTCACTTTAAATTTAATCGTAGGTAAAACTGATGCCTTTCTTTGAACGATGGATGATTATTATTTGCAAAATTCACAAATATTGTCTTTCATGATATCCTTCAACAAAATTCGATCAAGACAGTCAGAAGCACAACGTTCTTTGAGGGAACATCTGAAGCTCATTTTTCTGATTTCTATGAGAGAAAAATAGTATTACGAGGAATTATAAGAGGATTTTTAGGGGTCCCTAAAATTGTGGATCCATGCTGTCACGTTTAGTGGGCCTTGAATACCAATCAGAGTCTATTATCCAGTTACTTCTGTTTTCGCTGTTAAGGAAATCACAACTTTTATAGCTTTTTCGTCATATATGTGGATTGATTTGAAAAAAGCCAGATATCAAATAATACCAGAACAGGAAAGTACAGAACCAGTTTATTATCCAAATAATTATTGACAGGATTTCTTGACTGCGGCTATTACGAACAGATGATATATAATTTAAAGAAATTCATGTCTACGGGAGTTGATTAAGTTTCATGGGTGACAAAAAATTTTAATGTGGTACCTAAATACAATAATATTTTATAAATTGCTTGATATCTCCCGTGCATACAAACAGTATGATCATAAATGAACTGCATGCAACTGTCATATTACATACCACATACGCACACGGACAGTAAAAATAATATGAGGAATTTTTTGAAGAAGAGGAATATATGTCAGATACCTTCGAAATTGTTTCATGTAAAATCTATGTAAATAAAACATTTTCAAAAATGATTTTAGATTAGTTGTACTTTCGCATATTTTGTTTCTTTAAGGCTTAATATTTGTTAAGGTTTTAACAGTTAAAAGAATAAAACACCTTTTCTGCATCTATATATTGTTATGAGTTTGGTATACATGTAAATAAATTTACAGATCAATGTATACCGTCGAGCAATTCCAAGAAATCAAAAATACTGAAAATTTCCCGACAGACGGGGAAAAACTAACTATATAAGAGCAGAGAGAGCATCAACCTTTTAGTTTAGCTCAGAGTCCTGAGAGTTCAGAATATTGAGTTCAAGAGTAGAGATCACCGTGTGAGCTTACGCATTTGAGGCTGTTTGCATTGCCTTTTGTTCATCATTCTTGGTAGTTTAAAGTGGTAACCAAACTTATCATACTGTTTCTGAAAAATTGGTAACTAACCAAAGTTTCGCATTCCAAAAAAGGACTCACCAGCACAGAAGCATTGGCTAAGAATTGCTTGCAGATTTGAAATACATCTTTCGTTTGATCATCCTATGCAATTTCTAACTTGACCTTCTTAACATTTCCTTTTACCATATCATAGAGACAAGCTTGCGTCTTAGCTGCATTTCGTATGCAACGACAGTAGAAGTTAAATATTGCGAGAAACTGCCTTATATGCTCTACACTCTTAGGTAGCAGATATTTCTTTAAAGGTTCTTATCTTTTCTGGTAATGGGGATATACCATCCAATGAAACTAGGAAATCTAGAAATCGGTTTTCGTTTTGTTCAGAAACGCATTTAGCTAAATTAGCACAGCTCGACAGCTCTTGAATGGGTTCAAACAGCTTTTCTAAATCGGCCTTGTGTGTGTTTTCATCTTCTGATGTTATGGAAACATCGTCGAGGTAAGCATAATAACAATCTAAACCTCTTAAAACATAATCAGTAAATCTTTGAAATGTTTGAGTTACATTTCTTTCCAAATAAAATGTTTGTGTACTCATATAATGCAATGTGAATGAGGGAATGGGACTATTCGCCGTGGCTATTTCGCCGTCGGGACGTTTCGCTGTCAAGACATATTTTTCTTAATTTTTCGTACAGTTTTACAAAAATACACCGTTACACGTAGCATATTAATTTTAAGAGAGTAAGGTGTTGACAAGATTCCAAATTAATTCTGTTTTCCATTCGGATTTCATCAAAATGTGAATTTCCTGCTTGTGAGTGATTTTTCTGAACTAGACGATTAAAATATTAAGAAATTTTGACGAATCATATGACTATTGCACCCGCATAATTTTGAAATGGATAACATAACTTCTGTTATACCATAAGTATGATTTCTGGTATAACAGAAGAATATATTTCTTCTGTTATACCAGAAGTATGACCCAAGTTTTTTTTTATGTTGACATAATTTTCCAACAAAGTATGTGTAATTTCTTTATATCTCATACTTGTAAATAACTATATGTATTAAAACCAACCTTTATTAAGTATACAAAAGGTAAAAGGTAAACAGAATTATTTAACTAAATAAATTTAATTCGAGTATAATACAGCAAGATAAAATGCAGCCAGATAAAGAAAATTATGTGTTGACGGCGGAACGTCCTGGTGGCGAAACGGCCACGGTGAAATGGCGACGGCGAAAAGTCCTAGACCCTGTGAACGATTACTGCTGTATTTTCTATATCAGAATGGTGGTACTGGAATTCGGTGCTAAGCTTTGACAAGATCTATTTTACTGAAAATCTTTTCTCCTGTTACATATTGAGAAACGCCATTTATCTCTAGTAAAGGGTAACAATCAGGCTCACGGAATTCAATTTCCTGAAATGACCAAATATTCTCCATTGTTTTTTTTAATAAAGTGGACTAGCGTAAGGATTTTTCGAAAGCCGAATGAATCCTTATTCCATTAAACCTTCAATTATTTTTCCAAAGCTGCTAAATTTCAGGTGATAATCATCCAATCTTCGAACAGACAAGAGTGCCTTCAGTTTCAATCCAGTATTATACATTATGAGTAACTGTGCTTGCGATTTTGGGATTAAATAATTCGAAATTTGTTTAAAATTTTAATATAAGGGCATTGTCACAAATGGAAGTTAGTCCCAAACTAAAGCGCTGTACGCTTTAGAATTTAAATTGGTATGGTTATCGATCAAACGTCGATGTTTTATATACACCAAAATTCTAAATTTATCTAAAAAATCTGCGCGAGTGATAGATTGTGATAGATCTACAACAATGAAGTGTCAGGAAAATCGTCTTCTTAAACCAAGATCAAGTTCAAAACTTTTAGTGCCTTAACTGCATATTTTTGAACCATTGGCAGCATATATATTCACAGTTGATGTTTACATTTTCTAAAGTTTTTTAGGAATTCAACTAAATGCTGCACTGCTATCAATCGAGAATCGAACCTGGTACTTTTATCCAAGTGAATAAGCGGCAGGGCACTTGACTACCATCGTCGCCGCTATTACGGAGGCCCTTAAGTGTTTTTCTGCCATTTGAATAGGGAAATGCATTTTTTAGCATTTTGAGCAAAACGGCTTACAAGCACATCCATGATACCAGCACAAACTATGAGTCTACTGTTTAATATAATGATTTTCGCCTCTTGATGTTTTAGAATTTAGCTTTCTGCTTTCACTATGTGGCCGAAATTTAGTACAATATGTGCGCTCTACTGCTTCAATGCCATGATTTCATGCTTTAAGGTTTGAAGAGTTAGCGAATGATCAATTACAACGACCGCTTACGTTCTCGGCTAATAAACTGCGTACATCAAATAAATATTTTCAAATTTTCACAGGACTAGTTTCGATCGTTACACCAAACCATCATCCTCAGTTGCAAAAGCGCAAATAAACGAGATACGATAAGATAATAAAGACTGAACAGGAGTCAAGCTACTGGCGCCATCTGTTGATGAGACCAGAACTAAAACATAATTTCTTTAAAGGCTGAAGGCAAAGATTGATTGGAATTAGGGTCGTTAACTGGAACAGAAAGAATTTTTTGAATGTGAAATGCCTCTAGAAAATCCAGTTAACCAATGGAAGATGTTTTTCGAATAATTTTGGCAGCAGAAAAATTGAAAGTGTGATTTTCGAACCAACAATGCTGGGCAACAGAAGACTTCTGTGTTTTTTTTTCTAACATATACATCATGTTCCTTAACGCGAAATTTTAAGACTCTCTTAGTTTGACCAATGTAAATTAAACCACACTAGCACGGAATCCTGTAAACACCCCAGAAATTCATATCCGGAAAGGGATCCTTGAGTATGGAACTCGGAATTTTATTCATGGGAGAATAAACGACCCGAAAGTTAAATTTCTGTAAAATACGTGCAACTTTATAGCTATGTTGCTTTATGGTGCAAATGTTATTATCTAATAGAGCTGAAAATATAGAAACTAAATATTTAGCTAACGGACACGAGGCAGTGCCTAAATATGATACAACAAGGCGGAAAGGAATACTACTTATGTGAACTTTGGGAAGAGCATATAATCTGGCACAATTCGCAACAGATGGGATAAGCGACTGTTTTAGGTTGCTTCAAAGTATTTGTGGAGATTTGATCGCAGTTTTTATTTTTGACAGGTCGGAAAGTGAAGGATCTTGGATCGGATTATATGGTCCTTCGTTTTAGTGTAACTATCGATATAAGTGTTCTTATCCATGACGACTATCTGGCCACCTTTGTCGACCTTTATAATATCAGAGTTAGAATGAATTTCGCGTATTGTAGCTCTTTCTCTCGCATTTAGATTTGGTTTCAAAGGCTTATTATTGAATTTCATATTATGAGCGATAAAATGCCTAATAATTTGTTTCTGTGTACCTGAGACTTTACTGACTTTGGAAAGCTTTTTCGATAGGAGCCAAAATCATTGGAATCGAGGGTTTAGAGGTTTGTGAGAAGTTAAAACTATATTTTATAACTCTCTCTTGTTCTTTGATAAACTAACACTAGAAATATTAACTATTGGCTTAATGTTTACGATAGTAAGGTTTTTTGAACTACTTAAATTGGAAACTACGTATTTGAGTAAAATTCGTCTTTTGATAAAAATAATGTTAAAATTTTTCAATTCATGAATGTTGAGAGTCATCGATAGTGTACATTAGAATATCATTTTTTAAATTTTCATTTTCATGAATTATTTAAATCTTCAGTGATCCCTTTTTGTAAGCATGAACTGGTTTAAAAAATATTCTCCTTGTTTTAGGTTCGTTGCGTGAACAATGTCGAATCATTTGGAAGGAAAAAGAGAGACATCACCGAAGTAACTGATTATAACGACACCACAAATGGCTTGAACAGTACATTGAACGAAAGTTTTTCAGCTTCTCCTAATGGCCAAAACATGACAAGGTCTTATAAAGCTGGGTCCTCGATAATGCCACCAAATTCCGTTCATTCCTCCAGCTCTTCTAACACATACCCCCGAAAATTTAAAACTGCTCGCGTTACACAAGTGTTTGGAACTTTCACTTCAGCACCACCCATCAAGAAGATAACCAACAGCCATTCTAGACGGAATATTACAGAACCTTCAAAAACATGGCTTCCAAAAACCAGCAGTACTTCCGTACATTCAAATGAAGGCCACTGGACGGCATTAAGAAAAAGTTCCAACAGCTGGCGCTATCATACGACTGATGGTTTGGGATATGAATTACCAGCTATAGTGGAGACTGCAGTTAGATTCAAGGAAAATGAGACTCGACAAATTAATCAAAATGCTAGATTAAATCCAAATAAAGGTAATGGCAGATCTGAATATTTTAGGCAAGCATCAAGGACTGCTGCACAGCCTTTAATACGCCATACGTTTGCACCTCCCGAAAATCTGCTGTACAGTCCGAGACAAGTAAATGATTATAGACATACATTGTTGCAGAATGGAGTAAGACCTAATAGGATAGCCAATACACATTATGGGGTTCCTCCTAGAGATCAAGACATCAGAGAAGATTTTGAAAAAGCCCAGACCACCAATACCAGAGTGGTTAGCAATTATGATATTAAACACAGAACTTCATCTGGTCATTACCATACTTCAAATACAAAGCAACAGAACAACAGCTCTGCAGATGAAACCCATTCATCCGGTCAAACGCTAGACGATACAGTTGCCTCTTCTTTAACAACACCGGAACTTGTCATTTCAACCATAGTACCTGTTCCGGATGAATTACCTCTATCATTGGCCATAATGGTAGGAGAAGACCCAGGGGTCGATGTGTCTTCATGGAAAACAAATCCCAGTCGTATCAACCTTCCAGGTGAGCGAAATTTTTCCTATTTTTTTAAATTTATCTGTAACGTCTTGTAAAACAGTTTGTAGACGTTTTCGAAAATCAAAACCTCAGTAACAAGAAAATGAAACTCCTTCGCGTTCAAGTTTTAGAAAAGTGCATACTTTAACACTTAATTGCCCTGATTTTCATTTGAAATTTGTTTCAAGTGCAGAACATTTTGTTCTTTGCATTTGGTTGTTCAAATTTTTCATTTGAAAGGTCAATAAAAATTTTAGTATATAAGTTACGGACCAAAGGTTACTGTGCGTGTTTAAGACTATAATGAAAAAAACATTAGAAATGTACCATAAAATTATGCATCACAAATTTAAGCTTTCATAGATTATACGATTTTCTATCATTAATATAAATATGTGTTCTGTACGGCGATAATAGTGAGGTCTATTTCGAGACATTTGTGTAAGACTCTGAGAAAAAAATCGTTCTGTGAATTGATTTTCTGAAACAGTGCTTTTTTTTTGTTTTGTTTTGTTTTTTTGTTATAGTAGTGTAAGGCATGTTGATACTGCTTATCGATAAATTGATTCCTTCCTCGTAATTTCATATTTAAATCTTCAGGACCCTTAAAGATATCTACTGTAAAAGCTACATCAATAACCGTCATTTCATAAACCATGAATCTTTTCATTTTGTAAGGTTGATATAAATTTACACCATCGAGAGTAAAATCTGCTTTAGATTGTTTGTGACTGAGCCCGTTAGACGTGATAAAAGTGATTTTTAAAAATACTTTCTCTATTACAAGTTGCGTATCTTTCACTCTGACTAAATGATGTCACTTAGTTGAATGACTCTAGTTATCTAGGTGAACGATGAAATGGTAAGTGATGACAATGTAGAAGCATTAGGTTTTTTCGAAGCAGGAGATGTGAAAAATGAGCAATGCCCTCACTGGGACTCAAACCAGGACCTCTCGAATACGCGCCGAGTGTACTACCGTTACACCATGCAGCAAAGAATGATAAAATACGGGTCGGGCTGCGCCCATATCTGCTATCTTATATACGCCCCCTTTTAAAGAGCGACGGGGGATTAGGGGACCCAATCGTCAAATCCTAGTAGTGAAGAATTATGCTCCACCAACTTTTAGTTCGGGCGCTACTGTGGAGACCTTTTTTTTTTTTTTGGAAGCAGGGGATATGAAAAATTTGCAATACCCTCGTCGGGACTCGAACCTGAACCTCTCGAATACGTGCCGAGTATGTTACCGTTACATCTCCAAGGCATACAGGAAAGAGGGAGAAAAAATACTGTATAACATCATAAAAAAATATTAGATTTTCCAATTAGTTTTAGTTACTTCTAATCCCTATGCTCCATCAGTTTCACTTCAGATGCCGGTGCCTTGCCCATTTTGATTTCTTTGCATGTTTATTGCTAGTATAGAAGAGAAACACGCCAATATGACAATCGAAATCGCAATAATAACCTTGTATTTCGTGCACTTTTATTAAAACACTATTTCCGACGATATACGTGAATTTATATATTGGTGCGTTTTGAAATTTGGCATATTTGTTGAAAGCGATAAAACATCAAATGTAGTTTACACTGCTAAAATTATTTGAAAGTCAGAACGATGTGACTTTTTTTTCCGCTCATGCACAATGTAAAAAAATAGGAAAGAGGTACCTTTTTCTGCTCAGGCATAATGGAAAGGAAAGGAAAATTGGTTGCCATATATTAAGAAGTTCGCCAAGTGAATTATTCTTGGCGCAAATTGAAAAAATTGTGCCAAGATAAAGTTTTGAATTTCTCTTTAAAAAGTAATAGTAAATTTCGCACTAAATTTTACCAAAATTTAATATGTAGGCATAATTTGAATCTTAGAATCAAAATATGGAAAAAAAAATGTTATGTTATTTCAGAAAAAGTCCGATTTTGTGTCAGAATACCTATGGTAGAACAATGCTATATATATATATATATCTAATATAATCCTAAGTCGCGCTTTCGAGACATGAGAGTTTGAATTTTGTCAATCGGCTCAGTAGAACGAGAGTTATAGAACACTCCCCCTCCCTTCTTTTTTTTTTTTTTTTTTTTTTTTTTTGTGCGCAGGGTGCTTGCCCTGTTGAAAAGCTGGATTCCTAGCAAAACCTGAGGACACAATTTTGACAAAGAAATCTGGAGAAAAGAGATAAATAGCGACACTTCAAGTAGAAGTGTCGCTATTTATCGACACTTTACTAATACAGAAAATAATACAATGATTATGTTGTTCTTACATAAAAGGTGTAAATACATGAAAGGTTCTCCGCATCATATACGATATGCATCGTTTTCCTCTGTGGAGCTGTTTATATCAAATGTGATATAGGAGCGAAATGTTTGTTGAAACCCACTACATTATATTTAGGATTCATTTAAAATTTTCATTGTTCATAAGCCATGTTCGAATACTATGAAACTTATTTTTTTCCCAATGGTCGGATATTTTTCTAGTAAAGCTTTCGTTAACAATGACCGAATAATCGGTTATTTAACCGTCATATCGCAGATAACATTATCCAGAAATACACCACAAAGGAGGATGAAATTACAGCCGCAAGAAAGGAGAAACTTCATCCCAGTTTTGATGAAAAACACCGGGAAACGGATATTTGATGGGTCTCTCTCTCTCTCTTCCCCTACCAACAAGCATTAGAAGACTTTCAGCTCGACAATATTTTCAGCACGCCCATAACAATTCACACTTACAAATATTCATGTCTTCTCCGGGATTTGAACCGGGTCCAAGGCTATGGCAGCCAGCTCCTGTACTACCATGCTAACAGGGCGGCTACGAAACTTACTTGAATGGAAGATCTTGACGATATGAGTATTGCTGTCAACCCACATTAAGTTGATCTCAGCGATTCATCTCCCCATAGGCGAAAGAACTCAGTTAAAAAGCAAGATAGTCCCAGTTTTCTCAAAATGCGTTTGATTGCTGCACGTTTTGAGAAGATTTTGCTGTAGTCTCTCGCTTTTTAGATACTACACGGGACATAGGCGATCAAAAAGCACACACACACATACACACGTATTAAAAAACAGTTTACCAGTAGCTAATAAATAGTAGTTAATAAATAATAATGAAATAAATTCAGTTTTTACATGGGAGAGGAAATCTTCGAAACATTCCGTTCTCGAATCGGAGACAGACATTTTGCCGCTTTGTCATGTCCTAAATTCTACTGCCAGGTGTCTCCCTAAATGCTACAAATTTTGCAATCCTAAATATAATTGTTCGATGCTTTTCTAAATTAAAAACATTTGGTTGCTCCTAAATTTTGCCCCACCGGTTGCCGTTACTACCCTAAAATAAAAATCGAACTTTCCTGGCTCGCTTTCAACTAAAGCCACGAGATTGTTGAAGGGATTGCACTCATTGTTTTAGTTTGTGCATGCAAAACGCGCAATGTTGTTCTACGCAGTGTTTAGAAATGCCTCATATAGCTTTAATATTTGTGTATAAGTGTGGAAACATATAATACACATTGATCTTTCCAACTTTTAAGTTTCTGATTCATTAATGGTACAGAAATGTTTTTAGAAGTAAATATCTGATGTGAAAACACCATATGACTTCCTTCTATCGCCTATTAAATTGTGCACATTTTTTGCTGCATTTCATTTAAACTTATTTCCTCGAATTTCATTAGAGATATAGTATTTCTCATTTAATTAATTCAGTAATCACTTCGCGACAAAGCAAAAATGCATAAAAACTCTTATCAGCTTCATTAAAAATTGTAAAATAACCGACAAAGATAAAACACTAAACACAGTAGAAAGAGTTAAAGAAAACAGTTTTTAGAATTAAAATTTCTACGCCAAAGCAAACAATACGAACCTGCGGGAAGAAAGACCAATTGAATTTCGGTGCACAAAATTCAAAGTTAACTTTCTGCCCTATTGGGAAAAAGACACTGATACTGGTGCATAAACGGACTTAATTCATTGCTTTACTAAAGGTTCCAAATGTAAAAAAAATAGCGGTTTCGTTAAGCCTAGGGCCACTTAAACTTTCAAACTATTGATAATTCTACAACTGTTGCATGCATATTAACGAAAGGCAAAATAACCTTAGCTGGAACATAAGAACTAAGTCATAAGAGCATAAAAACTTAACCGGAACACAATTCAACTACTTTTAAAACAAAAAATGCACAATTTATCAACATATATGAGTAAAAATACTGAGCTCATCGAGTCGGGTTACAGAATAGGAATATAGTATATATATATATTTATATATTAACCGATTGCAACGAAGTTGGGAAATACAAAACTGTACGTTATAGCAGTTCCATTTAGAAAATTTCAATCTTCTGCAGCTACCACTTTTGAGTTATGTGAGAAACATACATGTACAGATGACGCAATAAAATCTTATATAATGTGATCTTATTATCATGATTTTGCACTTAAAATTCTCACACTTGTTTCTTAAAATAGGCATCCAATTTAAAAACGTTTAAACTGATGATACTCAAAAGAAAAGACAGCTCCTTTTACACTTTACAAATATTTTAGAATCATGAAAAACACACTTTTAATGCTGTAGAAATTTTGCAAGGAATAAAAGATATTCCTCTCAGAGCAACGTTCAGGTTTTGCTCTTTATAAGATCATAAATGATTGTTCAATATTTTAAGCTCCAAACCCTTTACTACTTGTTATGCTTATATTAGTGTTGAAATATGCTTATATTAGTGTATATGGAAACTCAGATACATTTTTTTTTTCTTTATAGCAAACAAAGACGATGTAGGTTTGGTCTGCACATCCGTCACAACCATCGCAGCCACAGCTGTCTCACTGTCCGTGTTGCATGTCCTGGGACTGGTTGGGGCTTACTGCTGCTGTAAGTGGCATCGCAAAAGCAAAAGGAAGAAAATCCTGCAGAACAGTCTCAAATTACCACGTCCAGCGCCCATGCACCGAAGGACGAGTGGTGCAGGGCGCACAGAAGAACTATTTTACGCCAAACCGGACGTCTCGTTCAGAAATGTGTACGGGTCTTACGAATCATCCCCATAAACGAAAGAAAAAATATGTTCATTTTTTCAGTAAAGAGCAAACACTTTTATAAACAATTTCAAAACGTCAATAAACTTAACATCGCTGGATGTGTGTCTGCGGGAAGTTGCGAAATTATTAGCAAAAGGGTTATAACAGACTTTTAGATGTTGAAGATTGTGATAGTGTTATAGATTGGTACTTCCTGGTACTTTACATGATGTGTTTCAAAGATCGTGCGAATAAATATCTCTTGAATGACATCGTTGGCCCATGTTTCTAGTTAGAGAAATAAATCAAGATCAATTAAGCTTTTGGCCATGATGCTTTTAATCAGAAGAAAGAAGGTTTCATAAAAATGTACGCAACATACATTTCCCGTCGAAACATAATACCAATGAGAAAGATATTTTCCATAGCTGAATTGATCGAAAGAAGAAAAAATGCCCATTTTTCACATAACAAAATTACCTAAGAAATTATTAATTAGAAGTTTTGTTAGCTAAAGATAAATTTTATTCCAATCTCTTAAATTGTCGAATGTGAGTCAATAAAGGTTGTATGTTATAATTACCTTACATCTCAATGATTTCAGCTTTGGATGCTAATGAATTTTTAAATGCCATTTGTAGGAATGCTAAATATGAAATTACAATCGACTCCCGTCAGTATGATTCTCGATATAATGCTCCACAAGGTAGCCCTGAGCGATCATTCGCAAGTCCAATTTAGTACGATGACCATCTGAATTGTCATTTTATCGTTAGTATTTGGAGACTTCTCTTAGCGAGAGTCGATGTTCTACCAAAAAATTCATTCTCATATGACACTTGAATCTATATTTCCGTACACTGTCACTCTTCCTTCTGGTCGAGTGGAAAGTATTAAGTCTAAATTTTGACGCATATTTTAATGCCGTTTTTTCGATTTCAAAAACAATTATTTTATTTAAAAAGAGCTTTAGCAGGATAAAAAACGATTTAACAGATTAAAAATTACACTTTTTTTTGTGTTTGTGAAGAAAATTCGAACATAAATTTATTTTTCACATGTAGACAAAATATTTGAAAAATGTAATTTTTCGTGTATTTAACTAAAAGCTATCATATCACCAAGACGGTTATCGTGTCTGAAAGTTTACCGTATTCTATTAATTTCTTCAGCTAGAATCATATGGCCACGATTTATCGTTCAATATTTATTTAGCGTGTAATCTTTTCTAACACCCTGCCTGTGCTTCTTTGTATCTATACCTGTGTCTAAAAATAACGTTCTAAATCATTTTACAGAAGGTTGTTTTAGCATGGAAAAAAAAAAAAAAAAGCTTCTGCACAGGGATTTAGTCACGGGGCCCATCTCAAATGCGGGTAGGCCTTTCTGATATTAATTCTGCTAACTTTTAAAGAAAACAATTTCATTCAGAAGTATGTAATTTATGGCGTTAAAAACATTTTTTCTAAAAGGCAATAATGCCGCTTACGCTCATAAATTTGTCACTGGATACAACTTTCATGTATTTTATGATTAATATTACAAGTTAATTATACAGTCGAAACTTCTCTTTTACAGACACTCTTGAGATCAAAACATTTAACCGTTTAATGAGAGTGTTTTTATCTGCCACTTCGAGGATCCGGGGATTTAGAAACTGTTCCTTAGTGTGGAGTGTCCGTAGAAGGAGATTCGACCATGTTACTATAAAAGTAAATAGACGATTTAAGTTATCAACATCTGATGACAGCCAGAACACATCAAGCAGAATGCTTGATAATCTCGGCATAAGTGTAAGTTGGATCTTGGAAGTAATCAAGAATTATCTTGGTGCTTTGAAACCGCTCCGTTTGTTAAGCAATAAAATGTGATTTGAAAGACAAATAAAAGACCTTATCTCAAGCTAAATAATAATATTCTGGAAACTGGCTAATTTCCACTCTGTGTGCAAGATGAATTATTGAAAAGACTCTACAACAGATGCTTGTAACTTCTAACTGTTTCCTTTGGGTTTGAGAGAAATTTCGTTTTAGCTCTTTTTCAAACTTACTCAAATTCTATTATAAAGGAAAGGATAGATGGTGTGATGTAAAAAACGTTTCTTCGTAACACATATTTATACAGAAAATTAAATTTCTTGTTTGCCAGTTAAATGTTACAAATTTCAAAGGCTGAAGCTAATCTAATTTGTAGCAAATCTACTTTTGAAATGGGCTGTATAGCCCCATTCTCAAGACAAGAATACTCCTAAATCATAACTGACACAAATATCGAACAAATGTATATGAATAATCTAAAAATAATTAAAATCAACGTTAATTTTAACAGGATAATATATGTTATACCTTATGCTCTTGTTATTTCTTCTCTGTTGTATTTTATAGAGGAAACTGCTTTTTGTAAAATAAATGCATGTTTTACTTTCCCTCAATTCTGACTGGAGTTAAAAAAATATATCACCTTTATTTTATATCTCCAAACTAATCACAGCTATTAATTTGATTTTATTAACTGCATGAATTTATTAATTTCTAACTGCATGAATTTATTAATTTCAGTCAATCTTCATCATTTTCAATAGAAGTGTTCTTTGAATTTTATCTTAAAATTGTTATGCATTTCAGTAAACGATTACGCTGTTAAATCTAAAGAAAAAAATTCTATCTTTACTACGAAATATATGATATTAAAAATGTTTAATGAATTAGAATAATACGAGTCATATTCATAAATATCTGCCGGATATATTTAAGTCAATGTACTTTACAATATATGAGCTGAGAAAAGTAATCAGAAATATCAGCTCTGATCATATGCTTATTTTATTCTCTTTGGAATCTCTAAATTATAAAGAAAGTGCCAGTGTAAAACCACAGACTGAATTCTTTATTACATTTATTAATCAGATCAGTAAAAGATTTTCTTGATACTACTACTGACATTAATAAGATTGTCCTTTCCGTCTCCACTTGCATCAAGGGGCGGCCTAAAATCAAGCTATTGTCATCAAAACATCATCTCCCAGCTCGCCTCCCGAGAGAAATTCAGGAGCATCACAATAGGCTCAGGGAACCTTATTTTCAATCGAATTTCGGATTTTATCCCTAAATTCGAAGCTGACAGCCTAAATAGATATGCTACGGTTTTAATCGAAAGCTATAAAAAACAGTGCAGCACAATAAAATCGAAAGCTTTACTGTCGGAGGTAATTCAGTTTGGATTTTCGCCAGGAAATTTAAAAATCGAAAAACACAGAACGGCCAATCCAGATGAATTCAGGCGTATTTAAGTGCCAGAATGATTATAAAACTTGAAAAAGACGATAAAGTAAATGCATTTGGCGAATGTTTCAAGGTGAAATCCTCCCCATACACTATTCCTTAAAATCAAACCTATGCTTTTTAAAGACAGAATAGTATTTTGATAGTTAGATAGTCGCTCCTACAGCTATATCCTACTATCTCTCTATAAGTTCCTAAATTCAAATGAAATTGTCCCTTCTTCCTCAGGATTTGAAAAACAGGAAATTTTCAGGATCAGACAATGTAACAAAATAAGATGATCAAAACCTCCAAAACCTCATTTTGAACCTTGCATTTTAACATTTAAAAAGCATTTTAACATTTAAAAAGCATTAAAGCATTTTAAACATTTTCTTATCCTACTTTCCCGCGTTTTGGAAGCATGCTAGTATTATTTTCATCTCGAAGAAAAACTAGACCTGTCGCCATGGAGAACTATATGCTATATTAGTTTCCTTCCCAGTTCTGAGAAAATTTCCGAAAGGATAATTAATGATCGGATGATACCAAAACTGGAATGACTCCATCAAGAGCAATTCGGGTATAAATTTCCTAACTGCATGCAGCTTCATTTGCAATGCAGAATTTGCGACTTCAGCTCTTCAAAGGTATGTATGAGACACTCAAGATGTTTGTGCTAACATAACCAAAGTTTTCGATAGCATAACGGCCTTACTGTCAGACTTGTTCAGATCGGTTCTAGGAAAAAAGCCCGCAGGAAAACAGCCCACAGGAATAATGCTCACAGGGGGTAAAAAGCCCACACAGAAATATGCCCACATAGATAAAAGCTCACATGGAAAAATACTCACTTAGAAATATGCTAACTCGGAAAAAAGCTCACACAGAAGTATGCTCACATGGAAATAAGCCCACTGATAAATAATTCACATAGAAATATCCCTACATTAATTAATCAATAATTAATCGATTTGAACATCGTACACCTACTTGAATTTTCTAAAGAAAAATTATTTAAATTACCAAAACATCTATGGTATATATTTCAAAAATTTTATAACTTATGTGCAGATTCAGTTGCTACATAAGATTAACAAATGGACCGTTTTGGATTAAAAGGAGGGGAATAAGGAAGAAAACATGAAACAGAATTATACAGTAAAAATTATTATAATTTTAATTGTTAAAAAAATAATAAATATGTTACACATTTTTAATATAAACATTAGAAGAATAATGAATGAGAATTTAGAATGATTATTTTATTTAAATTACTTAAAATATTTAATTTTATCATCGATTTCATCATAGTTTCTTACATGATTCACGATTACCAAATGTAAGTTTTTCATGTTTAATTTTTTTTTTAATTCAGTACATCCTGTATTTACATTAGCTAATTAATATCAAACGTTGAGAGGCTAAATCTTTTTTCAGCCCGTCAAATAAAAACCACATACTGGGATGGCTACAATTAAATAATGAATTTAGTGCGTTATGAGAGCCTTCGCAACAATTTGCAGTTTTAAGAGATTTTTCGAAGGCTGCTTTATAACGTTCAACTGAGAGGCATAATCAAAATGCTTCTAAAATTTAAAATTTCTGCAGACGTTTTACAACTTTTTTGGCTCAAAACTTGAATAACTATCTTCAAGCATCAATTTCTATAGATACACATCAAAAGTATGCAAACATAGAGTAAAGAAACAAAAATTAATTATTAGCAGTTACACGGAAAAAAATATCGTACAGGGCCAGTGGTATAAAAAAAATTCCCGGAACATGCAAAATTTTACAATAGTTTTCATGCTTTTATTTATCGCCCCTGAAAAGGTTAATATGAGCATTTGTCCATGTGAACATATTTCATGTGATTTTTTTTTTTTTCGTGTGAGCATTTTTCCATGTGAGCTTTTTTCTATGTGGGCATATTTCCTTGTGGGCATTTTTCCTGTGAGCTTTTATACCTGTGAGCATTATTCTGTGAGCATTTTTCCTGTGGGCATTTTTCCGGTCACCGTTCAGATCGAGTTCTACCGTCAGAAAATTTTTGAACATTCACTCTTTCTTGAGTGACAGAATCTTTAGTGTTCGCTTTGGAAATTTATTTTCAAGACACATCTCGATGTACTTGAAAGTTTTTGAAATTACTTCAAAGATTTTGATGCCTTTATAATACATTATTATTCGAACTAATCTTTTACTCGAACATTCTAGATCCAAAACCAAATCGCAAATTAGAATTATTAAAGCTAAGCATTTATTGATGCTGCAGACGAACTTGGATACAACACTTGAAATGATAATGAAATCATATCATCTACTGGGGGTGCAAAAATAGAAAAAAATAAATAAAAAAATAAACTGAGAACTTTCAGATTTTACATTACGCTCAAAGGGGCGTTTTTTAACGGTTTGTGTGTTACCTTTATTTATGAAATATCATGTTCCTCGCACTTAAACTATAAAATTCAATTCAACAGCAATATTGCAAAATAATATTTATTGAGTCTATCTTTAAAATTTCCGATACACAGTCTCGCGCGCGCGCTGGAGATAATTTTTTTTTTTTTCCCTCGTACAGTACTGCCAATCGTTGAGTTTGTTAATCAAAAATTCGTTGAGGTTTTACAAAATATGAAATCGATAATAAAACAAATTTCCAAATGAGGGCTTCCAGATGCCGATATTCGGTGAAGGATTACGTTATTTAAAATTCGATGGCTCTAGGTACACTGCGGGGGGGGGGGAAAGAAAGAAAAAAAAAAAAAGGGGGGGCTGTTCTATATCTCCCGTTCTACTGGGCCGACTCTCAGGAAATTAAATTTGCATTTTTCATGTCTAAAAAGCGCGACTTAGGATATTAGATTTATACATAGCATTGTGCTAATATTTAGACACAAAATTGTACTTTTACTGAAATGACATGCCAATTTTTTTTTCCATATTTCGATTATAAGACTCAAATTATGCCCAACTACCAAGTTTTGTAAAAATCGCACGAGTAGTTAAAAAAAAAATAGCTCTCAAAATTTTAGTTCCTCAGTGTTAATTCAATTTGATATATCAATATAAGTGTACTTAAGGGCCAGTCCACCTTCGAATGGCCGAGAATAATATTTGTGGGGAAAAACGATGAACAAATTAATTAACGAAAGACATTTTAGTGTAGACAAACGATTATAATATAAATTTAACATTCACGAGAAGTGAAAAGTAGTTATTCGTCAGTTCTTTTTAACAAAAGCAGCGTTCTCTGCTCCAACGTCAATCGTCCATCATCTAAAACGGTGATACCCCCTAATTCAGTGGTCGACAACCTATAGAACTTCATGGGTCACTAAATGTATGATTCCTATTTGGCGGACCACTGATATGAATTTAGAAAAAAAAAAAAAAAAAAAAAAAAAAAAAAAAGGTAAATACATTTACATAATAATTGTAAGGTTTTAAGTTAAACTAACCAAGTTTCTTTTTATTTTAAGTTACCCTTTCCTGTGAACTCTTATTTCAACTTCCCTTCAGAATGAGCGCGCGGTTCAGCTTTATGCTAATTTTTGTTGGAGCCAAGTTTTGTATTTAAAGGTTAGTGAGGAACTTCTCAAGTGTGAGAAAGCTTTTAGTCTCAGACCACGTCGGCTCTGTGGACGTTCGCCAGAATAGTTAGTATTTAAATTCTTACGCCTTAGTGCTATTCCTCAAATACTGATTGAAAAGATTTAAGTGCGTTAGTACTTAGCTAAGGTTTGCTACGCGCCATAAATAGGCCAATCTCGCGTTTAAGCTCTGTAACAGCGACTATTTATAAGTCTACTGAAGTGTTACTTTAAATTGCTTGATTGTTCAGTTTTAGATCCAAGCGCGGTCATTATTTTTCCGTTATCACTCCCGAGCTGGGAGTTGCTGTAAATAGTGGTTTAAATAAAAAGGTCTTTTACACCCTTCTTACGTTGTAATTCTTCTAGCACTCACAAGAACATAGCTGCATCCGGTGGTGACGATTCAGCTCACTGTTCGAGTTCAGGACTTGATACTGTCACCATTATGTTTGCCAAGAGTATGCACAGAACATCAAGTCCTGACATAATAATCAAAAAACTTTTATTTTTAAAACACGCCGAACAAATACTAATTCAGAAGTCAAAAAAAACAAAAATCAGCGTTATATTTTCAAAATTTAAATTTGTGAAAATTTTGAAAATATAACGCTGATTTTTTTGTTGTTTGACTTCTGAATTAACTTTTATTTTATTAATG